ACATACAGTAATAGTATTAACTTTCTTGTGGAAGAACTGCTTGAGCCTTGATTGATCATGTGACTCCCATCACTGTTGTGATTGGTGGTTTTCAGTGTATTACAATGGTACAAAACAGATATTAATACTTCAATATGTCGGAAAATTAATATTATTGCAGATAATGAAATACGGTTTATTACTGTAAATTTTTAGTTAAGTCTGTAAAACCAATAACGTTGCTATCGTATTTTTAACGGTAAAGTTCTGGCAACCACAGCTGCCGGTATTTTACCGTAAAAATTATGTTTTATTTTTTACAGTGTACAGATCAACAACAATACTTGACATCTCACATCCTGAGATGTGAGTTCTGCAGAACTTTATTCTGTTATTCTTTATTCTAGTAGTTCTACAATTTGAAGAATGTTTCAACTGCTTTTGTCTATACAATGAAATTCAGTGGGGCTCGAACAACACTGGACCTCATTTACATTCATTGTACGGACAAAAAAAAAAAAGACAAAAAAAAAGAATTCCATTATGAAGGCTGGGATACAGTCATTGTAACATTCTTTCTATTTTCTTGTGGTGGAGCAAGAAATGTACACATCAGTCCTTGGGCGGTCCAGATTACGAAATGTCTAAAATTACCCTGAATCATCCTATTACAATTATAATTTCATAAAAAGAATACCCTTGGGACTGTTTGGTAAAAGTCATTCAATATTGGCTTGGAAAAGTAAAGTTTAGTTGACAAAAGGTTTAATGAAATGAAACTCACTCGTTTTTAAGTTTCGAAATGCTGTTCGAGGCCAATGTGGTTTCCATTACACGAAGAGTAGATGTTAAAACTTCATGCTGATTTGTACTCGGCTTTCGCCATGGGAGTAATTTCACATGGGAGTAATGTGAATAAGAGCCCTGTCTAAGGTTGAGCTTTAAAAGAACTTGTATAAGCAAATGTGGTTTAAGCTCTTCTGATTTATGTTGCAACATCTTGTCTTTGTTGTATTTGTGGAGCTGTCTGTACATGAATGCAGTCAAAATTTCATTATGATTCAGATTCCTTTTAATGCCTTTAATGCATTGCACGCACTCGGACCTTTTTCATATCCTCACGTAATTACACACTTGTCTTGCGTTCAAGTGTTCTGAAACGTCTTGTGCAAATTATCAGAGTTTCCGGCCTCTTAAGGGTTCGCTTTTCTTCTGTATTGAAAATAGCCTACATTCTGAAACTCATTAAAGTGTCCTTGCATGCGTTGGAGTCAAAAGCAGGTGAAATTGGTGGTGTTGAAATTGGCATGTAATTGGAAAGGTGTTCAGTTCAGCCCCAAATAGAAATGGCCCCAGGGCAAGACATGAATTGAAATAATTACCCTTTTTAACTTTATTGTAGACCTATTGAACAGTGTTCTTAACTTATGCTACAGTAGGGTGAAATAACCCGGAATATTTTTTTAACGTGACTTTTTTTCTGACAAAAAGTGTCAACTACATACTGAATACAACCGATGCAGCTTAAACCTCACACCTCTGATATCTGATGTATGTCAGTATTTTATTTGCACTGAAAGGCTTTAAAAAAACTTAAAAAACTTTTTATTGTTGTTGTAAAGATAAATGAATATTATTAATTTTATATTAATATTATTTATATCATTCCATTGAGTGTAATGATCAAGATATATTTTTCACTAAATAAGCACAACGAAGTATATTTCATCATTTTTAAGAATCTGCTCTTCAAATGTCATCGAAATGAATCATTGAATCAGAGTTTTAAATTGATTTTTTTAAAGCAGATTTGAGTTGATTCACAGAAATGAATCAAACGTAACAACTGCAATGCTGTGTTTGCTCTTGAAGTTTAAACCAGGATATAATAGCGTCTATCTCTGTCTTAACGCGATAATTATAAACTCGTTTATCATAGCACTGTGTACTGTTACATCCAGTATGTCATGGACAGGACCTTGAGACCAGCCTGGGCTTAGAAAAGTTTGATTCCATAATGCAGATTGTATGTGTGTGTGACTTTATATACACTCACCGGCCACTTTATTAGGTACACCTGTCCAACTGCTCGTTAACACTTAATTTCTAAGCAGCCAATCACATGGCGGCAACTCAGTGCATTTAGGCATGTAGACATGGTCAAGACAATCTCCTGCAGTTCAAACCGAGCATCAGTATGGGGAAGAAAGGTGATTTGAGTGACTTTGAACGTGGCATGATTGTTGGTGCCAGAAGGGCTGGTCTGAGTATTTCAGAAACTGCTAATCTACTGGGATTTTCACGCACAACCATCTCTAGGGTTTACAGAGAATGGTCCGAAAAAGAAAAAACATCCAGTGAGCGGCAGTTCTGTGGGCGGAAATGCCTTGTTGATGCCAGAGGTCAGAGGAGAATGGCCAGACTGGTTCGAGCTGATAGAAGGGCAACAGTGACTGAAATAACCACTCGTTACAACCGAGGTATGCAGCAAAGCATTTGTGAAGCCACAACACGCACAACCTTGAGGCGGATGGGCTACAACAGCAGAAGACTCCACCGGGTACCACTCATCTCCACTACAAATAGGAAAAAGAGGCTACAATTTGCAAGAGCTCACCAAAATTGAACAGTTGAAGACTGGAAAAATGTTGCCTGGTCTGATGAGTCTCGATTTCTGTTGAGACATTCAGATGTTAGAGTCAGAATTTGGCGTAAACAGAATGAGAACATGGAACCATCATGCCTTGTTACCACTGTGCAGGCTGGTGGTGGTGGTGTAATGGTGTGGGGGATGTTTTCCTGGCACACTTTAGGCCCCTTAGTGCCAATTGGGCATCGTTTAAATGCCACGGCCTACCTGAGCATTGTTTCTGACCATGTCCATCCCTTTATGGCCACCATGTACCCATCCTCTGATGGCTACTTCCACCATGTCACAAAGCTCTAATCATTTCAAATTGGTTTCTTGAACATGACAATGAGTTCACTGTACTAAAATGGCCTCCACAGTCACCAGATCTCAACCCAATAGAGCATCTTTGGGATGTGGTGGAACGGGAGATTCGCATCATGGATGTGCAGCCGACAAATCTGCGGCAACTGTGTGATGCCATCATGTCAATATGGACCAAACTCCCTGAGGAATGCTTCCAGCACCTTGTTGAATCTATGCCACGAAGAATTGAGGCAGTTCTGAAGGCAAAAGGGGGTCCAACCCGTTACTAGCATGGGGTACCTAATAAAGTGGCCGGTGAGTGTATATACAGTAGTCTGCACTGTCAGTGCCTCCGGAGTCCTATTTGCCGTTTATATTTACATGATATTTAATCAAACAAGCTTCTTGTTTCATTAATTTTCACATAAATTGTGTAATTTTGTTGTTCTTTGAAATAATCAACAAGAAATATATTTTTGATGTTCATGTTTAGGATCAGTCACAGTTTTTGAGGGGAACCTTTAGCCCTGTTGAACCCTGTGTATTAGGCGACAGGTTGATTTGTTTCCATGTGATCTTGGCACCATATTTCTTATCGTGGGCAGCTGTGTGAATGATTCTGTCCCCTTGTGGTGTCAAATGTCATACAGTATGTAAGATATGAAACTCATAAGGCTGTTTCTATAATAAGTTCTTAGCATTTACCAAGACAGGCCATTTCTCCTGCTGAGGTGGAATGTTTGGGATTGTGAATGCTCTATGCTTTTGTAGGTATCTGTATGAATTGCGCCTCAGGACAGTGCTCTGTTCATGCTATTCACCAGGGCGAATTCATCACAGCGAATCGAACCGTTATTGAGCTAAAATTGCGAACAAAACTAGTTCCGTTGTCATTCATTGCCAATCATTAAACATAATGCTGCAGACCTTGGAGAGAGAGAGAGAGAGCTGCAATTCTTTTACAATCTGGAAGGATGTTGCCTAAAGAGACTCTTTCTTCATCCTAATATGACGGTTTTTGAGAGCTCCTCTAATGAAGTCAACATCTGACCTTTGAGTGAAATCTAGTACAGGACATTCCAGCTTCCCTTTCTTGTAAAAGATTCTTCAGCTGGTATCAGGACTATAAGAATAAACAGATGGTCTCAAGTTACTGTTGGCCTTCAAAGAAAAGCAGGTCTTTGTGATTAGCAGTGTCATACAGTGTTTATATATATATATATATATATATATATATATATATATATATATATATATATATATATATATATATATATATATATATATATATATATATATATATATAATGCAGTATGTAATTCCATTCTGAACGGAACCATAGGCACAAAATGTGAAAGACAGACTTTCGGTTTTATAAAATCAAAAGCTAAAAGCTAAAATACAACAGCATAAAATAGCACGTTCAGCCTTACTGATTACATTTTTAACAGAAAGTTACTCTGTGTTCCAAATGTAATCAGTAAGGCTGAATGTACTATTTTATGCTGTTGTATTTTAGCTCAGATTTAATAAAGTCGAGTATGTCTTTCACATTTTGTGCCTACAGCTATGTCCAGAATAGGGATGTGCCTACTGCATATATCAATTTGGCAAACATATTAGTAATTTGGTTATTCAGTGAAAAAAAGTTTAAAGTTGCGATATCCAGGCCTGGAAAATACGCTCATACCTAAAAATGATTTCCAGTTCTGTGAGTATGCATACCTAAAATATTTCATGCCTTTTTGTGAGTGCTTTATGAAATCATTTCAAATAAAATGCTTACCCATTTTGTGAGATCCCTGGTTAGTCTTATTCCATGTTTGCAGAAAATTGGTGGAGAGTTAATGTCATGTTGCAAAGTTATTATGAGTAGTATAGTAGTTTGCCATTATGATCATACCCCATGCCATGTTGTACATTTGAGAATATGTATTAGTGAGATTTGTCAAAAACGTTACTAATAAAAAGGGTATGATTATGAGTAAAACGGTGTTGTTCAGTAGAAGTAAATGTATTTATGTAATTAGACCTATATAAAAAAGAAAATAGGAAAATGTAGTCACCCTTCATTTGGTTTTCTCAGGTGGATAAGTACCTGTATCACATGCGACTGTCTGATGAGAACCTGATGGATGTCTCCAAGCGGTTCAGAAGGGAGATGGATAAAGGACTGGGCAGAGACACTAACCCAACTGCAGCTGTCAAGATGCTCCCCACCTTCGTCCGCTCCACACCTGACGGCACAGGTGATGATGAGATTTTGACCTATACAGATGGAAAAAAGCATCATCAAAATAGCCTAAGACATTAAAGTTGAGCTTTTTACAATCACAAAAGGTATCTGAACACTAACGCATTTACAAAAGTAGTATGAATTCAGGTAAAATAGGCCACTTTTAGTCCAATTTCCAATAAAGTGCCCCAATTTAGCTGAATCCATTGAATTTCAATGCATTTGAAAAGTAAGAAAAATCAAACCAAGCAACACCTACAAACAAAGAGCTTTTCTCGGAACTGACTTTAGTTTTCTTTTGACCTTTCCCCAACTGACCTCAAGGTAATTTTTTAGATGTATAAAGTCTGTTCTCCCCAAGTTCACATAGGCCTAGTGTCTTAGCAGAGTAACCACAGGTGGACACTACCTCTCAAAACCTTGGGGTGGTGGGTAAGATATTTTTTAAGTATTGAAAGAGGTCTCTTATGCTCACCAAGGTTGCATTTTTTTTAGTAAAATAGTAATATTGTAAATGTTATTACAATGTAAAATAACCGTTTTCTGTTTTAATATATTTAAAAATTTATTGAATTTTCAACAGTCAATACTCCAGTCTTCAGTGTCACATGATCCTTCAGAAATCATTCTAATATGCTGATTTGCTGCTCAAGAAACATTTTTATTATTATCAATGTTGAAAACTTAATATATACTGCTTAATATGTTTTGTGGAAACCGCTTTCATGTTTCTTTGATGAAAGTTCAAAAGAACAGCATTTATTTTAAATATAAAATCTTTTGATCAGTCTTTGATCAATTTAATGCATCCTTTTCAAAAAATCGTATTGACCCTGAACTTTTGAACAGTAGTGTAGGCTAGTTCCTAAACTGGATTGTGTTATAATTTCAAACTGAACAAACATCTTTTTGTGAAAGGTTTTGCTTAAAATGTTATTCATGATGATATGTAATGTATGTATGCATGTATGTATGTTTTGTAAGTGTGGCTTAAGTATCCATTTTAAGGCATTTGCATGTCAACAATTTTTATTACTAATTCTTAATCTAATTATAATGAGGGAAAAAAATGAATTGAATATTGGGAATGAAAAGCATTTGTACCCTGTGGGAATGTGTTGGCGTCAGGTTCCATGCGGGTCAAGTCATGGCTGGAGGTATATTGTTGTCTTTAGTGGCAAGCATCCTGTGGACTACATATTGTTCTGTCCAGTTGTGTTATTATCAGCCATCACTGTTGATGTGTTTGAGTGTGTGTTTCTGTCACAGTGACTGACACCAACCCAACGCTGTCACTGGCATCTGAGAGTGTTTGACTTTGCACGTGGGATGAGACAATGTCTCAAGTGGAGTGTGAAAAGAATAACTGTTCTCGGGTTCCTGGAAAAAGTGCCTTCACACAGAAAAGTAGTCATGTGGGTATGAGCCACAAAAGGGTGCTAGTAGGAAGTGTTGCCAAGGGAACGATATTGATCAATGAGACTAAGGTGGGATTGTGTCCAAATGAATGTTTGCCATCCCCGCTTACTCAGGGACTTTATTCTCATGTCATGACTCAGCGGTTGCTTTCTCTTGAAGAGATACATTTCTTGTTGCATGGTTGTAGATTTAAGCAACTTCCTTCTCGCAAAACATTTAGTTTGCACAGGCTATGCTTTCCGTATGTCAATTTGAAGTGAGGGTTGGGTGCATGAAGCCTGTTGTTATACTGACATTGTACGTTGAGGCAGAAGGTCACACCTGTACTGACAGACATCTGTCCTTACATTGAGAGTTTAACAAATTCTTTCTGAAAGACCTTTTATGTGTGTTAAGCATAGAGGCCATATCGTGTGAAATCCTTGGAAATAAAAAGTACTGTGAGCTTTAAAAAATCTGGAATTGCTCCAACACACACAGAAAACGCTCAGAAATGTAGCCCATCCAGTTATAAAGAGGTAATAATTAGTGTGCCGGCATTTTAGTACCACGTTAAACAATGTAACTTTACAAAAATAAAGTCAAAGTGTTGAGAAATAAATCATAACGCTTAATCTAGTAATAATTTTAATTATTCGTTGCAAAGCACTTTTCTTGGCACTCAAAGTGCTTTACATATTAAAGCAGGAAGTTTGCTCAACTACCATCAAACTGCTTTTTTTGACCGTATAGTGTCCCCATCACTGTACTGGGGCATTAGGACCCACACAGACAACAGGGTGAGTGGAGCGCCCCCTGCTGGCCTCACTAACACCTCTACCAACAGCAACCTAGTTTTCCCAGGAAATCTCTTATCCAGGACAGGTACTGACCAGGCTCAACCCTGCTAAGCTTCAGTGGGCAGCCAGTCTTGGGCTACAGGGTGAAATATGCTGGCATAATGCAGGTTTAATAAACAAGTATTGTCTGAGAACAGCTTTGTTCTCATAACAAACAGATTTTTTTGGTAACTTTTTATTTTAAGGTGACGGTTACATGTACTTTAGTACTATAGTAATAATAGTAAATTATGCATAATTACAAGCAACTAAACCTAACCATAACCCTATAGTAAGAACATGTCGTTAATTAATATTACTCAGTACTTGTTTGTGTAAATAGACTGTAACAACATCACCTTAAAATCGTAATCCTTTTATTCTCATAATTTTTATTTTATTTTCAAAATACTGTTTGTTCTGATGTTTCTGATGAAAACATGGACTATTTGTAAAATATTAATGTTGTAAAATTCTTATAATGTGATTATTCTTGAACCATGACCCCTTTGTTCTTGTAAAGTTGTCTTTTATTCTCGAAATCTATTCTCTTGAGTTAAATTTACTTTAAATTTGCTTGTAGAAACGGGCGACTTCCTTGCCCTGGACTTGGGAGGAACCAATTTCCGGGTTCTGCTTGTCAGAGTGTCCAGTAATGGGAAGCAGAAGGTGGAGATGGAGAATCAGATCTATGCCATTCCAGAGAACATCATGAGGGGAACCGGGACAGAGGTGAGGAGTGTGTGCGCAAGCCTGTGTTATTCTTTCTTATGCGGGTCTTCCGTTTTTTTTGGTTTTTTTTTGGGAGTGTTTCTTACTCAGGATCTCATTCTTGCCTCAGCACATATTTAAAAACCTGTCTTTGAAAATTCTCATGCAGAAAGTTCTAATCTGAAAGTTCTTATGCAGAAATCATGATGCATAAATCTTGATTCATTATTAGGTGTATTATATTTAGAGGGATACAGTATATCACCTGTCCTACAGTATGTGAAAATTCTGTAATTTTCCTCACCCTTATCTTGTTCCAAACCTGTTTGACTTACTTTCTTCTGCGAGACATAGAAAAAGATATTTTGATGGTTGTCCAAGGTTTTTTTTTTTTTTTTGGCTAGACACAATGGAGGTCAATGTTAACCCAAACCGTCAAATTTCAAAATCAGTCAATGATAACAGAATTAAATTTTTTGGGTGAAGTATCCCTATTCCAAAGTAACAAATATGATTTATATGATGTACATGTGTGGTCTGGTAAAGGTTCTACAAAACTTTTCTGTTGCTCAAACAGCAGAGGTCATGGGTTCGATTCCCAGGGAAAGCAAGAACTGATAAAAATGTAAAATGTGTGCCTTGAATGCAACGTAATTCGCTTTGGATAAAGGCCTCTGCCAAATGCATTAATGTAATGTATGTAAATAACAATCTGGCCAACCACATATATCTAGGCCAGACAGTCTAATTTAGAGGATGCACCTGAACGTTTTGCATGAACGTTTAACACCTAAGAACAAAGTAAATGAGACTCTATCTCTGCACATGAACATTTAACCAATTAACCATAACGCACAAGGCATCTGTTTTTATCTCGGGGCCTGTTTGAAAAATTATTTTAATTATGCATTATTAAAGGGATAGATTATTAAAAAATCTTTCTTGAATTTCTTTCTTCAGCTGAACACAAAAAGGATATTCTGAAGAATGTTGGTAACCAAACAGTTAATGGGGCCTATTGACTTCCATAGCAGGAAAAATAATATATCTTTAAAACATTCTTTTTTGTATTTATCTTGCAATATGTGTTGAAAGCTTTTGTTCTCACTTGAAGTGTCTCTCTGCTTGAAATAACCACTTTAGGCAAAGGCCAAATGAATGTGTGTCATAAGAAAATCATTTTAATGCACATTCTTTCTTCTACACACTTAAGCAAAAAAAAAGAAAAAAAAAAGAAGCAATTTGAGATACCAGAACTAACTTTTCATCATGATGATCATACAAACTGCCATACAAATAAAAATAATAGCTAAAAACTAAATAAGGTAACTGTTGTGCAGAACGAAAATGCACATAAGTGTCTCTTAGGTGGCTGGGAACTGAATCACGTCTGGTGTAAAACTAAACCAATGTTTCCTCACATACTTCATCCCTACTTCTCCGTGTTAGTTTGGCAGTGGATGTGTTCACTGTTTGGACTTCAATCATTGCAATTCGGCCACAAGAGTCCTTCATAAGAGTGCATGACCAGAGGGTGGAAGATATAGTTGGAACCCAGCTGTCAGAAAATGATGAGTTGCACCTGGTTCCTCACACACACCCCATGGGATTATGGAGTTGTGATTTCAATATAGAATGTATGACCTGAGGAGACTGCACGACATATTGATTGTCTGTCCCCATTGGATTTCCACATCGGAACTTTTGAATTTCGGTAGCTTTTCTGAGGCTTGTTTCCACTTTAGTTCAATCTAACGAGCTTTTCATTTCAAAACAATTATACTGTGCTTATGATTTGGTAGCCTTCAAAAATGACATACTTAAGAGATGAAAATAATGACACCTTTAGACTAACTTTTTCCTTTTACATAGACTTTTGATCCACATAATTTGTTTGCTATTGAACATATTGGGTCACTTTTGACTGTAATGGGTTCTTTTTTTTGTAATACTGTTTTTATTCCATTTTCTTAAACACTTACACAACAATGTACATCACATGTCTGTAACATCACATATAATGTAAAAAAAAAAAAAAAAAAAAAAACACCCGGGCTCATATTACATGAAAAGTGCAATAGCACAAACCAACATTGGATAATAAAGTATGTACTTTGGAAGTCAGAGTAAACAATACACTGCAATCAATAATAGTCACAGATAAGAGAAATAAAATAAAATAAAATAGGGTTAGTGCAAATTAAAATATATTTTCAAACGGATATAATACCTAATCAAGCATTTTGTTCCTCCTCTATTATATTGTTCATATCCCCATGCTCAATAAATAATAAAAAGGGACTCCAAATCCTCTTAAATTGGTCTTCTTTACCCTTAAGAATATATGTTATCTTTTCCACTGCAATGCATGAAGATATTTCTCTTAACCATCGAGTTATAGTAGGACTGTAATGGGTTCTTAATCTTAGCTAAGCAGTGCATTTAAAATGTAAATTTAAAAATCTGTCTTTTTTTCTTTTCTTTTCCAGCTCTTCGATCACATAGCCGAATGCTTGGCCAGTTTCCTTGAAAAATTGGGCATCAAAGAGAAGAAGCTGCCTCTAGGCTTTACCTTTTCATTTCCTTGCCAGCAGACTAAACTAGATGAGGTGAGATGAGAGAGACATTTTATTAAAGGAGGAAGAATACTTTAAAATAAGGAGCTCTTCAGCAAGAATGCCATGTCTCCATGGTTGCCCTTATTTCTGTGCAGAGTTTTCTGGTGTCATGGACCAAAGGTTTTAAGGCGAGTGGAGTGGAGGGGAGAGATGTTGTGGACCTTTTGAGAAAAGCCATCAAGAAGAGAGGGGTGAGTGTATGAATCAGTGTGTCATGCTTTTACATGTTAAAGCCATTGGTTTAATAGACCCTGTCCCAAATAGCTCACTTCATATGCACTTACTTACACAGTGGCCAATGCGTGCGCGTTCGAGCTGCACGAATAATCGTTAAAAGATTGCGATCTCGATTCAAACACCCACGGAATCTCATTCCTAAATGACAGCGATTAGCTTGTGTCTATTAAACCTTTGACTAAATCGCACCGGAACATTCAGATCTGCTTTGACTCTGCCGCTGACCCAGAGAGAGAGCAGTTGTCATATATAAGTAGAAAACAAGAGCAAACGTCACTCCTCTCCACACAAAACTGCACTGGTTGCCAGTTGCCGCTTGCATCAAATTCAAGTCACTTTTGCCTACAGAACAACCACTGGCTCTGCTCCCATTTACCTAAACTCATTACTTCAGACTTAAGTGCCATGCAGAAACTTGCGCTCTGCAAGTGACGCCGTCTTGTGGTGCCATCTCAAAGAGGCACAAAATCTCTTTCTTGGACCTTTTTCTGGTCTGTTCCCTGCTAGTGGAATAATCTGAAGATGCTTCTTTTTCTGCAACACTTGATCCATTAATACTAACACTTTATCCTCTATTCTACACTCACCTAAAGGATTAATAGGAACACCTGTTCAATTTCTCATTAATGCAATTATCTAATCAACCAATCACATGGCAGTTGCTTCAATGCATTTAGGGGTGTGGTCCTGGTCAAGACAATCTCCTGATCTCCAAACTGAATGTCAGAATGGGAAAGAAAGGTGATTTAAGCAATTTTGAGCGTGGCATGGTTGTTGGTGCCAGACGGACCGGTGTATTTCACAATCTGCTCAGTTACTGGGATTTTCACGCACAACCATTTCTAGGGTTTACAAAGAATGGTGTGAAAAGGGAAAAACATCCCGTATGCGGCAGTCCTGTGGGCGAAAATGCCTTGTTGATGCTAGAGGTCAGAGGAGAATGGGCCGACTGATTCAAGCTGATAGAAGAGCAACTTTGACTGAAATAACCACTCGGCACAACCGAGGTATGCAGCAAAGCATTTGTGAAGCCACAACACGCACAACCTTGAGGCGGATGGGCTACAACAGCAGAAGACCCCACCGGGTACCACTCATCTCCACTACAAATAGGAAAAAGAGGCTACAATTTGCAAGAGCTCACCAAAATTGGACAGTTGAAGACTGGAAAAATGTTGCCTGGTCTGATGAGTCTCGATTTCTGTTGAGACATTCAGATGGTAGAGTCAGAATTTGGCGTAAACAGAATGAGAACATGGATCCATCATGCCTTGTTACCACTGTGCAGGCTGGTGGTGGTGTAATGGTGTGGGGGATGTTTTCTTGGCACACTTTAGGCCCCTTGGTGCCAATTGGGCATCGTTTAAATGCCACGGCCTACCTGAGCATTGTTTCTGACCATGTTCATCTCTTTATGGCCACCATATACCCATCCTCTGATGGCTACTTCCAGCAGGATAATGCACCATGCCACAAAGCTCGAATCATTTCAAATTGGTTTCTTGAACATGACATTAAGTTCACTGTACTAAAATGGCCCCCACAGTCACCAGATCTCAACCCAATAGAGCATCTTTGGGATGTGGTGGAACGGGAGCTTCGTGCCCTGGATGTGCATCCCACAAATCTCCATCAACTGCAAGATGCTATCCTATCAATATGGGCCAACGTTTCTATAGAATGCTTTCAGCACCTTGTTGAATCAATGCCACGTAGAATTCAGGCAGTTCTGAAGGCGAAAGGGGGTCAAACACAGTATTAGTATGGTGTTCCTAATAATCCTTTAGGTGAGTGTAGGCCTATATCTATTATCTTTCTGAAAAAATAAAAAAATAAATAAAGTACATGTACTGCGTTAGATTAAACTGGGAAGGGTCATAGCACTTGCATATTGTTGTCCTATTATTAGTTTAACTGCTTCTATTGTTCTCATTTGTAAGTCGCTTTGGATAAAAGCGTCTGCTAAATGAATAAATGTAAAACAGCTTCACAAACAGTCTTTTCAACCTCACAGTATTATTTTCTGTTTTACTATAATTGAAATTATCACAAAAGTGCTGGGATAAGTTTTATAGTTCGGATGTTAACTGATGTCTATGGTAGCGATCAAAATAGAGTAAATCACCTTTTGAAAGTATTATGTCACTTCAAATAACGATTGTATCGATTACATCTTACACCACCAGATGGCGACAAGTGACTGTTAAAAAATGTATTTGTCATTGAATCATTCATTCAAGAGATTCGTGATTCATTCAGTAATAAACGTATTTGTGACCCATGCTGGCAAAATGAGTCAGAATGAGCAAATTTGCAAAAAACAAGTGCTTGTTATTGTGCAAGTGCATGGATCATATAATGTTATGCTCCATTAGCAAAGTCGGTTTTGAGAAAAATCCATTAAAGGAGAACTCCGGCGCAAAATTAACCTTTGGTCTAAAAAAACATTGGTACCTAGTCAACCGTTCTCTGAGATTTGTTTTCATGATAATAGAATGTAAAGAGTTTTATCTCTAAAAACTGTTTAGCGTATAACGCTAGTAATGGGGGCATCTATTAAGTAAAAAGAAATCGCTAGTTAATACCACTAACAAGACTCAAAATAGCCCCACACGACCACAGTGACATAATGAGGGTCCCTACATGCAAAACGAAGCAGTGAGAACTTTGTAAGTGTACAGACCGTTTAATAAGAAGATATTTTATGAAGACAGTCCACTTTGTGTATACAGACAGGAGCCATCTTTGGAAAACAGTCTCAACTAATCAAACCACGAACGACGTGCTAAGTGAGCTGAACTGTATGAAGTTCAGTGAACTTCTGAACTGTATGAATGGCGGTCGTGGTTTGACTAGTCGAGACTGTTTTCCAAAGATGGCTCCTGTCTGTATACACAAAGTGGACTGTCTTCATAAAATATCTTCTTATTAAACGGTCTGTACACTTACAAAGTTCTCAATGCTTCGTTTTGCATGTAGGGACCCTCATTATGTCACTGTGGTCGTGTGGGGCTATTTTGAGTCTTGTTAGTGGTATAAACTAGCGATTTCTTTTTACTTAATAGATACCCCCATTACTAGTGTTATACGCTAAACAGTTTTTAGAGATAAAACTCTTTACATTCGATTATCATGAAAACAAATCTCAGAGAACGGTTGACTAGGTACCAATGTTTTATTAGACCAAAGGTTCATTTTTCTCCTTTAAAGTTTTCTGAAGGTTCCAAAAGAAAATCACTTTGCAATCATACCTTAAAATCGCTGGTAATAACACCAAATTTGACACACACCAAGTCAAAACCCATATCTAAAGGGAAAATATATTCAGCTTTATTGAAAATATTTAGATACAGAATATTTAACATCATTATCCAACAGATTTTTCTGCTTAACAGTCAGTTTAAAAAAAGCGTGTCACTGGTTAAGGCTAACCATATAGCAATCCATGTAGCAACATTTAGCAACATCATATCAGTAATAACAATAATTAACAAATTGCCAATCTCATGTTAACAAGTTTATTAAAAAGACTAAATTCTGTGAAAGAATATTCATGATTTTTCCTGCATGGATGTGTTAATAGTGATCAACACAGCTACAGTAGCAAAGTTCATTTTAATACAGTCATGACAGATTCATTTTGTATCTATGCCCAACCATTGTTCAAGATTTGCTACATTAATGTCCACAATCATCTTGTTTTGGCGATGGCACATTATCACTGAGGTTTAAAGCATTAGCACCGACTGAGCACTCTCACGATCATCCAGTGAAGAACGAATCATTAAAACTAAAACGTACATCATCCCATTTAATAAGCCGATACTGCTAGAAAGAATTCGAATTGTGTATCTAAGTGTTCCAGTGGACCTATTTGTACCCAACCCTTTGCTGCGTTTCAATTGTCAAAAGTACGGACACGGGTCTAATGGCTGACAACAAACAACAAACACATCTGTTGTAACTGTGCTGCGGAAGATCGACAAGGAGAGTTGTGAAAAACCATCTAAATGTTGTAATCGCACAGGTGATCATTCAAAACATCTGCATCAATGTCCCATATGGATCAAAGAAAAGGAAATACAGAAGGTTAGATGTACAAAGAGCATCAGTTACGCCCGAAGCAAAGAAAATGGTGGCTGCTGCCCCTATTTTCAATTTGAATAAAACTTTTGCCTTTGCTGTCAAAAAAGCTGTAAGAACAATATATTGCCAGACAGATATCACCTGGATGCATAAAGATAAACCCCAAACTGTTAACTACAGTAATCTTATCTCAAAAACGAAAAATACAGGGATTCAGAGTGAGACTCTTTCAAATCTGACTTCTCAATCAGAGTTCAACAACTGAGAATCAAAAGGCAAATAAAAATAACAGAAAGGCAAGCTCTTCACAATCAAAAGATGAAACTTCAAAGACAAGACAAATTGAAGATGTCAAAATGAAAGAGAGTGAACACCATAGTAGAAGCCTATGTCCTAAAGGCAGAATTAGGACAAATGTTCCTATTCTTCCTATTAGGTAATGGGAAATGTTATCATCCAATGGAGCTGTCGTGGTGTCAGGGCTAATTTTACGGAGTTGCAGCGTTTAATTGCAGTTATTAATCCTCTTGTTGTATGTTTATAGGAGGTACAATTTTCATTAGATTGTACTTTTTCCTTTAATAGTCATAGTCACATCAGTATTAACAGCAATCTACAGGTGACAGCAGTACGATTGACACTGCAGAAAACCATTACAGTCTGTTCCACTTACATTCCTCCTGATTTAAATTTGACACACATGGATCTAGATCACCTTGTTACTCAACGGCCATCTTTCCTTTATTCTCATGGGAAATTTTAATAGCCATAACTTTCTGTGTACTTTCTGGCAGAAATTATTGCAATACAAAAGAAAAGATGATTGAAGATTTTATAGATAATCATACCTTATGTCTTTTAAATAATGGATCGAATAGTTATTTACATCCGGGACATGGAACATATTCCGCAATCTACTTAACAATCTGTCAGCCTGAACTATTTTTTAGACCTATCATGGAAAGTACATCACGACCCTTGTGGAAGTGACCATTTTCGAACAAAAAATCTAGATGACTTCCATGGTTTGATGATAAATGGAAGGATGTTATAAAAGAGAGGAAAAAAGCTGAAACATTTTTCTTCAGACTTTTCTTCTTATCAAACTCAAGACGAGTAGAGCACAAGCAAGAAGAAATAAATGAAGTTAAAAAGGAAAGCTGGAGAAGATTAGTTTCAAGCATGTCAACAAGTTCAAAATATGGAGCTGCTACTAAAAATAAAGGGCAAAAGCAGTGGTCCTTAAATACAACACATCAAACAGCATGATTCACTCTTGACTGTCTTCCTGCTTTCCAAACTTTTCATGCTCAACAAAGGAGGGGTAGAAAATAAACTTAAGCTTGTAGCGAACTAGCTCTATGAAATATGAATAATCAATCATAACTTGTTATAATTGATTATGAATATTTTGGATCAGTTAATCGGGTTAACTTGATGTAGCTACATTAACATTACAACCAATTACTCTGTTCGTCCCGTGAACACTCAATATTGGTTATTAATTAATTAATAGAAATGTACATTTCCGGGGCATGGGAAATGCCTTTCTTATTGAGTACTACTAAGAGCAAGTAGTCAAGATCTATGATTAGTGACTCCAGATATGAGAGACCCGGGTTCGAATCCACTGTGAGACACCAATGTGTCCCTGAGCAAGACACTTAACCCCTAGTTGCTCCAGAGGCGTGCGACCTCTGTCATATTTAGCAATTGTAAGTCGCTTTGGATAAAAGCGTCAGCTAAATGAATAAATGTAAATGTAGATATGAGCTTGAGAAACGGACAACTTTACGTGTGATATGAAAAGACTTTATTAACTAGACTAAACGTTTAAACAACATACACAAACATACATGCATACAGTTTACCAAGGGAAAGAGAGCTGAAGCAGAATACAGGAAAGCAAGAAGTTATAGCATTGTTCAGCAGATCAACAGCCTGAGCAAACCGTCAGTTTAGTTCTAACACGCCCTTATTAAAAAGAGGTAAGGATACTTGATGTATCAATTAATGAGACTAAGTTTGATACTTGCATGTCTCGTCCATTTGAATTAAACTGTCCTGATGCAATTTGTTGAGGCTCCAGTTGATCTTTGCTGATGTGGTCTTGATGAGAGAGAACCAGTGGTAGTCAGAGGATCTTTGGTGAATGGAAAGACAAGGCCGCAGCCTGGCGCAAGCTTGGGGAGTCCTTGAGAGACTTCTAGTTCAGCCTCATCTTCACGTTAGGATTTCTCAGGAAGGCCCAAGAGAGTCAGAGAGCCAGAGGCTAAGAGGACCAGAGAGGACAAGCGAAGAGCTAAGAGGACAAGAGAGCGCAAGAGAGCTGGTGAGGGTGCAATTTATAACCTGAGAAAAGTCCAACCTCTCAGGGTTGGCTCGGCCAATAAGAAGGGTGGAAGTTCCAGGTGGGAATTTGGTTTATTGCTCTTTGTTTTAAGGGTGCTCGTTGCATGTGCACGCTGGAGGGGTGGTGCACCTGCTGCTTATTATATGCGGGTGCCGCGATGCAGCGCAGCTGATGCAATTATTGCATGCCAATGTGCATTGGCTCGTTTTAGTTACACTCGAAGTAGATTGGGCTCTCTAGCGAGATTCCCATTCGTCGGTCTCTGACGTAACGCCGAGAGTGACCGACTGAAAGGGAACTTAAAACAGAAAACACATAAGTTGGTAGGTCAAAAAAAAAAAAAAAAAATTCAAATAAAAATTTGAGGGGGATTTTTTTTTTTTTTTTTTATAAATTAATGTTAAATTCAATTAATTAGACATACTTTTTAAATACTACCTGAAAAACCTGTAAAGCAATTTTATTTTATTTGTGTCTTTGTTCTATTGTATTTATAATCCGTGTAGTTTGATCATTTCTTCTTAGTTTTCCTCATTCTTATTTGATAGTAGTCCTTTTTCCCCCTAAACATAGCAAATACCGAAACGTACTGAAACCGTGACCCTTTAACCGTGAGTAATGTGAACCGTTACACCCCTATTGCAGACGTAACAAACAATGTAAATATTGCTCTTGAGCACATATTTCTGGATACAGGTTTTTTTTTAACCAACATTTATAAATGTCATTATTATTATTAAGAATTGTTTTACCTCCATAAGGTGTAGTTACAAAATCTACCAGCAGGGGTTAACTGAGCCATGAAAACCAGCCAACCCTTCAAGTCCATTTTCGTTTTAAATTCACCCTTTAACCCATTAAAATCGCAGTTACATATAGCTTTACGTGACTCATTGCTGTATTTGACCTTTTAAAAATTTTCAGCTTGTTTCAACCAAACAACATTTTTATTTGTTCTCTCTTCAGGACTTTGACATTGACATTGTTGCTGTGATCAATGATACCGTTGGCACCATGATGACCTGTGGCTATGACGACCATCACTGTGAGATTGGTCTCATTGTCGGTGAGTCACTGACTGTCTTACTTTTGCACTCATATTCTAGCTGATATTAGTGGGAAATATCATCCAGGGTGTCAGCAATTATTGTCAGGCAAATGATCTGCTTGGTGTGAATGAAAGGTGCTTTATTCAGACACAGACATTTTGTTCTGTCATTTCATTTGTTTAGGTTATTGGTTGAGGGAATACAAAAGCACGCATTTCAGGCATTTTATAGCCTGTTCAGGCCTATTATTATGGCCTAACAAAATTATTTTTTGCGCCATCTTGACAATTATAATCCTCACACTTCACTTAACGAACTAATTATTTTGATTCATTTTCCCCAATAGTGTGTCAAATATGTGTAATTATAGAGGCTAGAGCAGATGCTCCCTGAGTCTTTCACACCAACTTTGTATGCCATGCACAGCCTCAGTTATTATACTAGCTAATTTGTACATCATTTTAACAGTCTTTCACATAAGATGACAATTACAGTGGGCTAAATGTATTCTTGGTGATGTGGAAATACAGCCGAAGAGCGAGAACAGCTGAAAAGTGTGGAAGTGGTGGTAGTGAGCAAGGTGTTTTAGTGGGATTTTTTCAGGGCTGCTCAGTGGGATTTTATTTCTGTTAATTTTCAATTTCACTGGACCTTGGAGCAGTGGAAGAAGGCCGCCTGGTCCGATGAGTCCCGTTTTCTTTTACATCACGTAGACTGCCGTGTACATATGCGCCGTTTACCTGGGGAAGTGATAGCATCACGATACATTGTGGAGGGATGACAAGTCGCTGGAGGGAGAGTGATGCTCTGGGCAATATTCTGCTGGGAAACCCTTGGTCTGGCCATTCATGTGGACGTAGATTTGACACGTGCCACCTACCTAAACATTGTTGCAGACCAGGTACAAAAATTGTTGACAAATATTTTTGTTGTCTAATAGCCATTCAATGACCATAAACTCAGAAGTTAGGAAAATTAACTCTACAAAAATATGCACTACTCTTACTAAGTTATTATAACATTATTATCATAAAAATTGCATTATATGCAATTGTTGACAAATCAGTGGTTAATTTAAACCTTTAATATTATATGTACCAGCTTACTGTCCAGCCTTAATAAAAACACAGTACCAGTCATTAGTTATGTTTTCATTCAAAGTTGCGAATTTAAAATTGGAATATCATAAAGCATTTGTGAATAAAGCAGAGCTTCCATCCCATGTGCTCAAGAAAACAGAATTGTCTCTTCTTGGGAAATTGGCCTCTGTGTCTCTTTTTTTCCTACAATCATAAATTACTTGCGTCTCAGAGAGTACAGGGAAACACAATTAACGCTGTCATGTTTTCTTCCATTCAGATGCCAGAGTTAAATAAAATCATTTTGATGACAGAATTTGGCTAAGGCATTTCAGTATGTTCAAACCAACATTTGAGACGCTGTGCAATGAAATCGGTTTTATAATCACTCCAGTTATCCAATTACATCTATTGTTGAGGCAAAGTCACTGAAGTTTGTTGTTGCGAATCGAGGGATTTTTTTCCATATTATTTTATGTGCATGTCTTCTTATCGGATGAAAAATGTATCTGCCTCAATTGAGCGCACAAGTGTTTTTATGCATATTTTTAGAATTTATGCGCATTTAGCCATTTCCATCCAGAGTTTTTTCATGGAATATTCGAAGATGTGCATAAAATTAGGTGGATGGAAACCGCTATTTGTTGCCAGATACCACAGGACACCTTCAGGGGTCCAGTAGAGTCCATGTCTCAGCGGGTTTGCGCTGTTTTGGCAGCATGCGGAGGAACAACAGCATATTATAATAGTTAAATTATATTTATATTAGCGAATTAATAGAAATATAATCCAACAATATAAATATCCTCACCTGATTTAATATAAACATACATGCATTGAAAAATATTTTATTCACTTAGTAAAATGTAATTTATTTAAACTAATTTTAATTGCACATCTGTTAGAAATATACAAATGTGATTGCTGATTTAACATTTTGGTTGGGGGAGTAACTATCTGTTTGTCCAGTCATTAGTTTTGAAGTCCAAAATTGTCATGGTCATTTTCCAAGCTTCAGAATGTTTAGGATACAAATTAATAAGATGACAAGAGCTGTTACTATCATGCAAATGGGGAACGTCCTGTATATTTGAAGGCAGCGGGTTTATTTTGAATTCAAGGACAGTGTCGAGAGACTACAGTAAGCTTACTGATAGCTGGGCTAATAAAACAAGCTTACCCAAGGCTTACCTTGTCATCTTCCACAAAGCCAGACTAGCACTGTTGAGTGTACTATTGATATAATATATTTGAACATCATGAAGATCTAATGTAAATTCGTAAATTCCCTTGTAAAAGTAAATTCCCTTGCCTGCACCTTTGAACGTGTGTTTTTATTATTTAACGATTTGTAGGAATCTGTTGAGATGGTGCTTAGAAAACACATGGACTTCAGTGGATTTTAAAGAGGAATTGCATTGTAGAAGATGTGCGTGACTTACTTTGTTTGCATTTGCATTCATTTTAGAATATTTGCAGAAAGAAATGGTTACCGTTTTAGCCTTGGTAGTTCACACCTCAGATTTAAAAATAAATAAATAAATAAATAAATAAATAGGTGTGTGTAAAAGTGGAGTGTAAAGGGTGGCAAGAGGGGAGACAACCAATAAAACACAGACCAACAACAACATGCTCATTTTATAGACGAATATTAATATATGTGCAAAACAAACAACAAAACAACAGTTTGCTGGGGCAAAATAATGTATTTTAATAATACAACCCCATGACTACAAACTCTAAACTCTGTGGGGATAGAGCCTTTGCCGCTATGGCACCCAGATTATGGAATGCTTTGCCAACCAGTATTAGGTTTGCTGAGAATGTGGACAGTTTTAGGGGACAAGTGAAGACTCATTTATTCTTAGAAATACAGTACCAACAAATCAGCATAGCAGATGTAACAGTTTTACTCTGGTTGTGTTTGTTGTTCTCATCAAGAAAGATAATGTCGATGGAAGAGGTCTCAGGATGCTTTATTCGCTGCAGAAATAGACTGAGCACAGTGAATTATTTGGGATACACATCTCTCCCATTATACGCTCGTTAGAAGAGCGAGAGAAAGCACACCCGATCCCGTCAATGGCAAATGTGCTTCTAAACATGGTGCTGTTAGCACATCGCACACCAGTTGTTTTTTTTTTTTTTTATAGTTTTCATGTGCATCACCAATATGTGCCCCTTATAAAACTTTCTGCATGAATGGTTCCCAATAGAATTATGTACATTGTACCTTATAACTAAAATAATAAGTTCATTTTATACTTTTTGAACAATCTACACAGAGCTATGGTCTATATAAAAAATTAGGTAGAAGGTCTATAATAAAATTTTCATTACGTTTACGAGCACTACAATCACAACAAATGACACACATCAATATAAAGACACAAGAATTCTTTGAATTCTTGGTCTACATCATTGTCTTCTGTGTATCAGAATAATTAATTGTGTCATCGCGTTCATGATCAGACGTACCGCTGTATCATTGTCCTTATTTGCACAAATATATTTAATTTGAAGAAGACATGCATGAAATGTGTGCACATAAACGTTGCTGGTTCATGTTTGGAGCAGGAGAGTATATGAATTATGTCATAAAAACTTGAAACACGCTTGCTCTGTTCCGGATATGAACTGATTAAATTCAATTCACCTTCGTATAGCGCCTTTCACAATACATGTTGTGTCAAAGCAGCTTTACAGAAAATGCATGTCTACATTACAGTTTAGAGAGATCTGTTATCAGAGGTGACTATGTCCAAGTTATGTGTTTCAATCACAACAAATGACACCCATCAATATAAAGACACAAGAATTCTTTGAATTCTTGGTCTACATCATTGGCTTCTGTGTATCAGAGTAATTAATTGTCATCGCGTTCATGATCAGACGTACCGCTGTATCAGTGTCCTTATTTGCACAAATTTTTTTAATTTGAAGAAGACATGCATGTAATGTGTGCACATAAACGTTGCTGGTTCATGTTTGGAGCAGGAGAGTATATGAATTATGTCCATAAAAACTTGAAACACGCTTGCTCTGTTCCGGATATGAGCTGATTAAATTCAATTCACCTTCGTATAGCGCCTTTCACAATACATGTTGTGTCAAAGCAGCTTTACAGAAAATGCATGTCTACATTACAGTTTAGAGAGATCAGAGGTGACTATGTCCAAGTTATGTGTTTCAGAAATGTAAATATACAATGTATATGTACATTTCTACATTTCATATACAATGTATATATGTATGTATATGTATTCATTTAAGGCAGAAACAATGAGCTCATTGAAGTAATGAATACATGTTTGTTAACAAATGAATAGGATATATAGTAAAATGTAGCATTGGTGCATGATTCCGAGCTTGCTTCATCTGAAGTCTTCGCAGGAGTTTAGTTGGCGCTCTCTCTTCACAGGTGTTGGGTCATCTGAAGTCTTCATAAGAGGCTGGATATAGGCAGCCAGTGTAGAGATGATAAAATTGGTGTTATATGATCATACTTTCTTGACCTAGTAAGAACTCTAGCAGCTACATTTTTGACGAATTGTAACTTGTTTATTGAGGATGCAGGACAACCACCTATAATGCATTACAGTAATCTAGTCTCGAGGTCATGAATGCATGAACTAACTTTTCTGCATCAGAAACAGATAGCATGTTCCATAGCTTAGCAATGTTTCTGAGGTGGAAGAAGGCTATTTTTGTGACATATAAAATATGATGTTTGCTGTCTAATAGAACACCCAGTACATCCTTCTAAATGCAAATTGTATTCTGTGTACAGGTTTCTGGTCCAATAAGTAGTACCTCAGTCTTATCTGAATTTAATAGAAGAAAAGTACAGGTCATCCAATATTTTACATCTTTAACGCACTCTGTCAACTTGGATAATTTCGATATTTTATCTGGTCGTGATGAAATGTATAACTGAGTATCATTGGCATAACAGTGGAAACTAATTCCATGTTTTCTTAAAATATTACCAAGTGGCAGCAAATATATTTAGAATAGCAGAGGGCCTAACACCGATCCTTGTGGCACTCCATTTACTGACGTTATCTTAGATTTTTCCCTGTTTAAAAAGACAAAATGGTAACGGTCTGATAGGTACGATCTAAACCACCTTAATGCCTGTCCCTGAATACCAGTGTAATTTTGTAGTCGATCTAAGAGTATTTTATGATCTATAGTGTCGAACGCAGCACTAAGATCAAGTAAAACTAGTAATGAGAGACAGCCTTGGTCAGAAGCTAAAAGTAAGTCATTTTTTCATTTTAATGAGCACAGTTTCTGTGCTCTGATGGGGCCTTAATCTAGACTAAAATTTGTCATAGATATATTTATTTATTTTTTGTTAAAAAGAGAACAATTAAGCGGACCCAATTTTTTTTCTTGTATTTTAGACATAAATGGAAGATTTGAAATGTGTCTTAATGAGAGGCTTAGTAACTGCCAGCTTAAACGGTCTTGGGACATGACCTAGAGATAAATACAAGTTAATAATATTGAGAAGCTGCTACAGATAACAATTCTTTCAGTAGTTTAATGGATATTGGATCTAATAAATGTGTTGTTTGTTTAGATGCAATGATACGTTTATTTAGTTCTTCCTGTCTTATAGTTGTAAAGCACTGCAATTGTTCTTGAGGGGTGATAATTGAGGCTAAATCATAAAAAAAACCTTTCAAAGGTTGTACATTTATAATTGTATTTATGATGCTTTCGATTTTCTCAGGGAAGAAATTCATAAAACCATTACTACTAAACTGTAATGGAATAATTTGGTCAGGTGATGTCTGTTTATTTGTTAAGCTAGCCACTGTACTAAATCAAAATTTTGGATTGTTCTGGTTATTTTCTATTATTTATTATTAGTGCTTTTAGAGCCTTTTGATAATGGGAAGTGCTGTCTTTCCACCCGATTCTAAAGACCTCTAAATTAGTTTGTTTCCATTTACACTCTAGATTACGAGTTTCTCTCTTGATGGCGTGTGTTGTACCATAGTGCATTACTTTTCTTTCTAACTATTTTTATCTGATCGGTGCAACAGTTTCTAATGTACTAGAGAAAATGGTGGACATACTGCTAGTCATTTCCTCTAATTCAGTTGTGTGTTTGGGAACAGTGAGCAGCCGAGACAGATCAGGCAGGTTATTTGTGAATCTATCTATAGTATTTGGGAGAATGGTTCTTCCTTGCCCATAACGTGACACGACAAGGCAAATTTCAGCAGTACGTAGTATGCAAGTTATAAGGTAGTGATCAGTGACATCATCACTTTGTGGTAGAATATCTATATGAGTAGGATTGGTTCCATGCGATAATTAAAATCTAGTGTATGATTAAAACAATGAGTGGGTCTAGGGACGTTTTGTAGCTCTAGTGACGATTTGTAGCTTTGTAGCCCGTAGCTTGGCCTGCTTCTCTAGTAGGTCGCGGATCTGCTTCTCCACGGCTTCCAGCTCCAACTGCACCGTGTGCAGTTCGAACGTGTTCTCACCTGCATTCAAAGCTAGACACACATCCGATACATTCGCAATTATAACAGAAAAACAGTAATTTCTTAAATGATAAGAGGGTAAACAAGACAAGTGATAGTTCGAGACCACGCCAGTGATGCTAGCGGGCTACAGCTAGTTGCGGATGTTTGATACAGAGTTGGATAAAGTAGCGATATCAAAGCAATCCGATTGTTTTTCGATATAGAATATTATCGGTGATATGTTCACCCACTGTAAAAAGAGAAAATATAAAAATTGGTATAAATTGATGCAAATTGATAGAAAAATTTGGGGAAATCTCAGGAAAGAAGAAGGTATTTGAAACAGGGTTTCCACAGTCATAGAAAATCTTAGACCTGGAAAAGTTATGGAAATGTATATAGTTCATGTAAATTTCTGTTTATGCTCTGCATGGAGTCTCCGAAATTTCAATCCTGCATTGAGCCTTAATCATTATTTTCTCTTTGTGGAGATATTTATACATAAAAATGTTACGAAACCCCCCTTTTGTCAGCATGGGTCAGTTCTCTTCAAGAAATGACTTTAAAACTGCCTGTTAGAAGTTTCAGTTTAAAAAGTCCATTTAAAATAAGACAGAACTGCTTTTTTTAGGCTACTAATATGACTGGAGTCTTCATTTCATAGTAGTTTACTTTATTATTTATTTATTTATTTGTGTAAAACATTTTTATGAGGGAAAAATTACTTAGTGCTCCTTTAAAATGCAGCACACGTTTGCATGCAACATGCAACACATGCAACATGTAAAATTTCCAGGAATCTTCAATGTAAACAAGTTGCGTGTGTTTTACAGGGACGGGCACCAACGCGTGCTACATGGAGGAGATGCGGCACTTGGAGCTGGTGGACGGTGACGAGGGTCGCATGTGTGTGAACATGGAGTGGGGTGCTTTCGGCGACGATGGCTCCCTGGATGACCTCCGCACTGAATTTGACCGAGAGATTGATGCTGGCTCCCTAAACCCCGGCAAACAGCTGTGAGTGACAGTCCTGCACCTGCCACTCCCGACAGTTCTTTTGTTGACACCAAAAGCCATTGAGGCCTTTTTTCCCTAGAGGGCAACTAGGCAATTACGGAAACCGTTAACAAGGTTGTCACCATGGCGACACCAAGTCACAGGTGGTACGCATTCTTGAGTATGAATTTGTTTTTAGAAGGCAAGTGCGAACGTAGTTGGGTAGACCATACTGTATGCTCTTACTGCAACAGCTAGAAAGTGAGTCACATCATTCATTGTACGTTAGCCTGATTTCTGACGTTGTGGGTCTTGGGTGTTTTAAAGCTAATGTTCCTGTCCCTAATTGCTGGGACTCAACGTGCGCTTTCAATTCACTGTGAAGAACCAGCACTTTGAAAGCTCAGAAAATGCAGAACTAATCAAATACCATTATGCTACGAGTGCTTGTGGCTGAGCTCTCTACATGCCCTCAGTGGTGGAGTATGGCAATCGATTGCCTTATTATATATGCACATGCGTCTTTTTAGAGCTGCTTAACAGCAGAATTTTAATTTCTCATTGTGACGTACGCCATTTCTTTAGATTTGCAAGTCACTTTTATTGTTCTCTCGCATTCACTGCTCTCTGAGACATGAGGAATGTTTAGACCAGGGGTTTTCAAACTTTTTGTGTGTGGACCACTATTTGTAATCAAGAATTTCCGCGGACCACCTCATAATACACATAATAAAATATGTCTACACACAGTCCTACCTTAAAGTGCGTATGTCAGGTTAAATTTGTAATTATGATTAACACAAAATAGTTAGGGGCAATACACGTTTTACAAGTTGTTGTATTGTTTTTGTATGATTTTCGATACCTAAAGGCCGAATATAAGATGAAAAAGTTTGTTATTTTCAGTACTCACTTAAAACTGCTCCTCCCCCCAAATGGATCGCTTGACGTCATAAGAGGGAGACGTCTCCGGTCGCTGAGAAAGTGAGTTGTGTTGATAATTGTACGAGTGATAAAGTGAGAGAATTAGTGATTAGGACATTTATTTATTTAGTTAGCTATTTAAGTTAGGTAGTTAGTTAGGTATACGCAGGCGTATTTTCACGATGGTGAATTACTGCGTTTGTGCTGGGTGCAAAAACACTGTTAAAACCGGTCACAGAGTCCACTTTTTCCCAAAAAGCAGGTCTGTGTTGCGTGCCTGGGTCAACTTTGTTCGGACCAAACGCGCTGACTTCAGTGCTGCTTATCCAAGACTTCGGTCATTTGCAGCGCACATTTCTTCCAGTTTTATGTTTCCACTGTTCGATCGCGCCCGCGTCTCTCTCTCTCTCTCTCTCTCCTCTCCTCTCTCTCTCTCTCTCTCTCTCTCTCTCTCTCTCTCTCTCTCTCTCTCTCTCTCTCTCTCTCTCTCTCTCTCTCTCTCTCTCTCTCTCTCTCCACTTCAGTGCTGCTTCACACACACACACACACACCAACATAACATATTCCAGCATTACAATCTTGACATCGCAGCCTGTTCATTATAGCCACGGTCCACGGAGCTTCAGAGCTAAGGCGGAGCTACATACTGTCCCTAAATAACCCACGTATTTAACAGTAGTTCCGCATTAATTAATTTGCACGCGAGTTTTATTTATTTTTTTATACTCGTGTATATTCATACGCCCGTACCGTTTCGGTTCAATACGTATACATGTACCGTTCCACCTCTAAGTTATGCCTATATACACCTGCCCAACTCTCCACTGGTTCTCTTCACACCAGATATTTATGTTTCTTCGATAGAAATTATTTAAATTTCTGTTTGGCTCCTCATCTGTCTCACGCCTGCGAGGCTCAAAATTGTATGGCTGTGGGCCATCGCAGGTTTGAGGGGGATTTTGGATCTCCTTAGACTCAAAACTCTCCATACTTGAATAGAACTTTTTTGGAACGTCTCCCTCTTCTGACGTCACAGCTCAGCTGTGTTTTAAAAATATGATCTTGACGGAGATCTTGACAAATGGCTATAAAGCTTACTGTAGGGCAATTACAGTAATAATTTTAGTGATAATTACATTTTCACTCAGACATCTAACCCTTATTTAATATATCTAAAAAAAAAATTTAACCTGACATACACACTTTAATTAATCCACACCTCTAAATAGGCTTACTAGCACTAAAACTATAACTGGTCATCACATCAGTACAACAGGCTTGTTAAAAGAAAGTTAACAGCACACAACGGCTGCCACATATTTAATTTATTTACCGTATTTACTCAAGCGCCCGAGGGCATAATCAGGTTCATTTGAACAACAGGCTTATTTCCATAGCAATGGAGTATGAAATCTATACAGTAATAAGAACACTTGGATATAGTCAACATTTCAAAACCTTTGGTGATTTTAGGGGATTATTAATCTTCAGAGTTTTACAAGTCCTCAAAGTAGGCGTGAGTTTGTCCACTTAACAGCACATCCGCAAAACATTTCAGAAATGCGAGATCAAGAAACTAATTGGAAATTAAAATAATAACAGGCCTTATTCATTCCATTTATAAACATTTAGTTTCATATAAACTACCTATAAAGGGCTATGCGTGTGATGTGATAATGAGAACATATTTGCCTCTGCCTCTTTTCTCTTCAGAGAACCTGTTGCTATCCACCGATCCATGTTGTGGTTCTAACGGCACTGAACTTGAAAGTCACGGCAGAGCGCCACTGGCCTATTTTAGTAATCACACAATAACTTGACAATTTAATTTAAATTTTATATAAATATAGGCTACATATTCTTTTTACTTTTTTTTACTTTTTTTATGTGAATTTCCTGGTAAAATGAAGGTAAAAAAAATATTTTATATTTTATTTTGCCTTTCCACGGACCACCTGCAGTACCCTCACGGACCACTAGTGGTCTGCGGACCACAGTTTGGTAATGGCTGCTTTAGACTATACCCAGATCGAGTACTGCAAACATGTTCTTGTCCCCTCCCGGTCACCGTAACAACAATGAAAAAAACAACAACAACTGAAATTTATTTTCATTTGTGCTGTGCAGTGAAGCACAATATGAAGTCATCATTTACTTACTGTACATTTTCCAGTTTATTTATAGCAAAAACATAATTGTTTTTTTCTTTCTTATTTTCCTTCATAACTGACAGACTACTACAAATCTGCCTCCTTTTCATTGTATAAACATCTTAGACACTACCAGGGTCGCTAAGATTATTTAAAAAAGCTTTTGACAGAAGTCAATTATGCTCACCGAGGCTGCATTTATTTGATAAAAATACAGTAAAAACAGCAAAATTATGATTTTAGAATCTAATTTATTCCAGGCAAAGCTGAATTTTCTGCAGTCTTCAGTGTCACATGATCATGATCATTCTAATATGCTAATTTGGTGCTCAAGAAACATTTATTATTTTTTATAAATGATGAAAGCTGTTGTGCTGGGCACTTATGTGGCTACTGTATTGAAGGATAGTGCACTTTTCAAATAAAATATTTCACACAAATATGTTTGTTAGGTTAAAATGAAATGTTATGCCCTAATGTGGCTGAGGGAATGAAGAAAACACATAACTTAAAATAGATAAATCATTCTGCTTATACTACGGTTACCACACCTCAAAACATTGTTCAGATGATGTATTTGATATTTGTATGATGTATTTGTATAAGATATTTGTCAGGTTTTTGTCCTAATTTCTTTATTATGCATCTCATCCCAAGCCTCCGTTGCTAATTCCAAAACCTCATTTTAGAGCTAGTAACGGAGGCTTCAGCTATTGATAGTAGACTAATGCAGTTATCAATGCAGTTATGAGAGAGAGAGAGAGAGAGAGAGAGAGAGAGAGAGAGAGAGAGAGAGAGAGAGAGAGAGAGAGAGAGAGAGAGAGAGAGAGAGAGAGAGAGAGAGAGAGAGAGAGAGAGAGAGAGAGAGTGAGAGAGAGAGAGAGAGAGAGAGAGAGAGAGAGAGAGAGAGAGAGAGAGAGAGAGAGAGAGAGATCAAGCGTGTATGAATGCGTCTCTCAACAGTGTTTGGCAGCAGCGTCTCTAATAGCAAAACTGTTAGTTCATCTGCTCCAAGAACAGCGCCGTTATTACCTCGCTAGTGAGAAATTACATATAGCTTTTAAGTTGTTTAAACTATTTTACTGATAAAATCATCTGAGCAGCACTGACAACATGTTTCTGTTTGAGTGTGTGTTCGTACTGTATGTGCTCGTTTGAGTGGGAGAGAGAGAGAGTGAGTAGGCTATGTTGTCCGTAAATGAATAAAATTTAATTTTGCAGCAAAAAACATGGAAATAATAAAAAATTTAACCCATTTTTTACTGTACTTATTTGCTTGGTCAGTGTCATTGTGGGTTTTGGTTCTTTTGCTGTCCTTAGAACGTTCCTGAACCAATCAGATTCAAGCGTTCAATAGCCCCGTAGTATAAAAATTAATAATCAACACTAGAATGTACCCTGTGAATTTACCCTCTCTTTCTTTTTCTTTCTCCACAAATATTTCCTACACCCCTGAAGCATCCTGGGGTTAAGCGTCTCACTCAAGTGAATAATAGTGATTGGGTTCACTGGTTGCCCAGCATAGGATCAATAACCTCTAGGCGACCATCGTCCCATACCGCTAGGCTTGCCGCGATAGACGGTGTTGACGGTGTTACCTGTTTTAAGCCCCATCACCGGTGACATCACTTTCCCACCGTGACACCGCGATGTCTTGACTTTTTTAAAGTATTCGTTTTTGCTAAAAATATTTATTTGAATTAATTAAAAATAATAATTATCAATTATTTAGTTCAGAAGAGAGCATACATTATAATTAAAAACTGAACTGCGCAGTGCCTGCCAAGAGCCAGTCACGGCACAGATCAGCAAGCATCAGGAGTCAAATTCCATTTAGCACGTGTGGAGATTTTATATTCGTCTCTTATTTATTTGGTTTTATCTTATTTAAACTTTGTGTAATTTATTTAGGCCTATTTTATTTTCTTATTCGTTAATAAACGTTTTATGGTTCTTATTTGTTTGGGCCCACAGTTTGCCGATTTTCACTTTTTTTCAGCCTATGCATGGGGTTATTTTTATTCGTTTGTTATGCTAATAAAAGTTCGGTCTATAAATAAAAGTTTTATTATCAGCGAGTTTTGAATTGTCAGCGCTGAATTGCCAATGGACGCTTATTTCGAAAGTGAAAGTATAACGCGCAGGGACGTGCACAGGGGGGTTGCTCAGGTTTGCCCGGGCAACTGCCCATATGCCCTTCTCACTCAAGTTGCCCTTCTCACTCAAGTTGCCCTTCCGAGAAAAAAATTAAATCGTACAATGGATGCAGAATTTCACGTAGGCCTAGATTAAAAAATCGCAAAGCCTCATTCACTTCCATTCGGGCACCGAAAGTGAAAGTCAGTATGAAGGGCAAACGCTGCACGCGACCATAGACTGCATGCGACCGGCGTAGGGCCACGCAAATTACTTAAGGCCACGCCTCCATCTCGTGTCATAGTCATAGCGCGCCGTCAAATGTGTAGCTACAACATCTACGACAAAATGAAGCGAAACTATCCTTCTGGTCACGAAAAGAGGAAGAAGAAAAAAAACCATGAGAGTGAATTGCGGGAACAACAATCAGGTAAACTTGTGTTCTCTCCTCTCTAAGTTTGATGTCAGCAAAGTTTGATGTTTTTCGGTCTTGCTAACCTAGCTGGGCAGGCAGTGCGTCTCTTGCATCACTTTGTGGCTGACAAAAGTGAGAGTAAAATACAATTATTTATTACGTTTGATTTTGATAAACGACAAAGTGCAACGGTGTTTGTTTACTGCAGCTCGGAAAACATAACCGCGTCGCGTGTGTTATCGTGCGTTCATATGCGCGTTGCCTAAATGAAACTCGCATTTTTCAAGCAGAAATATGTGGAGACCAGACATACTGTACAATACATGCACGTGAATGATGCCACTCCCAATCAAAGTACACATTATACTTTCAAAACAAGACACTGATTATCTAGTCTCAGTGTAGTTAAAAACTCTAAACAACTGCACTAATTATGCAAGATAGAAAGCAATGTATTGACAATTTGACATTGATTGACTATTGATTTATAGGCTATATTGAATTAAAAATGTTGATTAGCTGGACATACTGGTCAAAATGGATGCACATCCCTCAGTAAATAATAACCATAAATCAAGAATTGCTTCAACATGCATAATAAAAAAAAAAAAAAAAAAATCATACTGATGCCGAAAATGCCCAGGCTGTAGAAAGAACCAAAGTTAATCCCAAAAGCCAAAGCTCAGGGTTATTATTTATTATTTTCTTCTTATTTATGTTTACGTTAATATTCACTTACTTAATAATATTCACTTATTATCTTAACATTCTATAGAAAATACTCTATTCAATAAATATTGTGTGTTTGAACCTCATTCTGTTCTACACTCACCGGCCACTTTATTAGGTACCCCATGCTAGTAACGGGTTGGACCCCCTTTTGCCTTCAGAACTGCCTCAATTCTTCGTGGCATAGATTCAACAAGGTGCTGGAAGCATTCCTCAGGGAGTTTGGTCCATATTGACATGATGGCATCACACAGTTGCCGCAGATTTGTCGGCTGCACATCCATGATGCGAATCTCCCGTTCCACCACATCCCAAAGATGCTCTATTGGGTTGAGATCTGGTGACTGTGGAGGCCATTTTAGTACAGTGAACTCATTGCCATGTTCAAGAAACCAATTTGAAATGATTAGAGCTTTGTGACATGGTGGAAGTAGCCATCAGAGGATGGGTACATGGTGGCCATAAAGGGATGGACATGGTCAGAAACAATGCTCAGGTAGGCCGTGGCATTTAAACGATGCCCAATTGGCACTAAGGGGCCTAAAGTGTGCCAGGAAAACATCCCCCACACCATTATACCACCACCACCAGCCTGCACAGTGGTAACAAGGCATGATGGTTCCATGTTCTCATTCTGTTTACGCCAAATTCTGACTCTAACATCTGAATGTCTCAACAGAAATCGAGACTCATCAGACCAGGCAACATTTTTCCAGTCTTCAACTGTTCAATTTTGGTGAGCTCTTGCAAATTGTAGCCTCTTTTTCCTATTTGTAGTGGAGATGAGTGGTACCCGGTGGAGTCTTCTGCTGTTGTAGCCCATCCGCCTCAAGGTTGTGCGTGTTGTGGCTTCACAAATGCTTTGCTGCATACCTCGGTTGTAACGAGTGGTTATTTCAGTCACTGTTGCCCTTCTATCAGCTCGAACCAGTCTGGCCATTCTCCTCTGACCTCTGGCATCAACAAGGCATTTCCGCCCACAGAACTGCCGCTCACTGGATGTTTTTTCTTTTTCGGACCATTCTCTGTAAACCCTAGAGATGGTTGTGCGTGAAAATCCCAGTAGATTAGCAGTTTCTGAAATACTCAGACCAGCCCTTCTGGCACCAACAATCATGCCACGTTCAAAGTCACTCAAATCACCTTTCTTCCCCATACTGATGCTCGGTTTGAAATGCAGGAGATTGTCTTGACCATGTCTACATGCCTAAATGCACTGAGTTGCCGCCATGTGATTGGCTGCTTAGAAATTAAGTGTTAACGAGCAGTTGGACAGGTGTACCTAATAAAGTGGCCGGTGAGTGTATATTGTTGTACTTATTATTTGACTGTTTTGTTTAATGGGAGGATGGGAGTGCTGAAGTGTCAGGTGTGACTGTGGCAATGGCAAATGGTTTACATAGCTCACGACATCAGAGGGCCCCTTAGCAGAATTTTGCTTAGGGCCACAGGGAGGTCAGGATCGGCACTGGGTGTAGCAGTCGATTCTGTTCCTTACCGGAATTCCTGTTCCCTTTACGCAATCATACTACAAATCATGCGTAGTTGCCCAGATGAGCAAAAAGCACAATTGAATGTACGGGAAGCCAAAAGGTTAAAAAAGGATTGTATTTTTTCCGAAATCTAAGCGTTTTATTTTATTTTATTAGAAGCGAGTTTTTCCCCATCTGTCAATTCAATCCAGATTATTTATTTAAAAAAAAAATAATAATAATAATAATAATTAAAAAACAATAAACAATAATATGAGGAACTCTTTTTCTCATGTGTATTTTGGTGACATTTAACATATTGTTAATACATTTTGTATACTGTTTACAAAGTTGTATATCATAAACCTGTCATCTTTGACGTTTGCAATCTTTATAAATAATAATAAGACCATAATATGAGGCATTGCGTTTGGAAATAAACACGATCAGATAAGGCAATTTGTATGGGCAAAATTCAACTGAATATATTCCTTCATATAGCCCGTGAGTTTTGGGGGGTAGTGCCCTTTTTTCAGGTCAGAGCAACTGCCCCACAAATTCCCTTGCACGTCCCTGATAACGCGCACGCATTTAAAAGCTATTTAACCCCCCCGCCCCGCCCCCCACGGTGACACCGGGATTACCGGTGTTGTCACACGTCGAATAACCGGTGGGAAATTTTCCTCACCGCCGCAACCCTACATACCGCCACACTGCATCATGACATGCGTGTTTATCGTGGTCACTCATCAGCCTGACTCTACGTGCTGTGTGTTTTGTTTTCATGCAGGTTTGAGAAGATGATTAGTGGGATGTACATGGGGGAGCTGGTCAGACTCATCCTGGTGAAGATGGCCAAAGATGCTCTGCTGTTCCAGGGACACACCACTCCAGATCTGCTCACCACCGGCCACTTCCAGACCTCCTTCGTCTCTGCCATCGAAAATGGAAAGTTAGTACCTTTTTGTTCTTGTATGTTTCTAGCTCTACTAAAATGGCTGCAGAAGTAAGCCAAAATAAAGTTAGTTAAAAAGGTTACACTTTACAATAAGGTCTCTTTTGTTAACATTAGTTAATGCATTAGCTAACATGATCTAACAATCTATTTTTTTTACAGCACTTATTAATCTTTGCTGATGTTAGTTAGTTAGATTCTTCATAGTTTGTTCATGTTAGTTCACAGCACATTAACTAATGTTACCAAAAACAATTTTTTATTTAAAGCTGCAGTCCGTAGCTTTTTTGGGGGGTTAAAAATGATCCAAAATACATATTTGAAAAAAATACATAACCAGCCAGTGTTCTAAACTATCTGCTTGCCTTGGCTCGATTCAAAGCAGTAAGCTTGTAATAATGTTTTTAATTCCAGTGGTACTGGTGGATTTCCGCGGGAGATTCGAGCATGTCTTTACTTCATTACGTCACATCTGTACACATAAAGAAGGAGTCTCGGCTAGTAGGCTATATTGCGTGTGAGGATGTTGGAGGTGGAGATTTATAGCCTTTTCTCACAGCACTTGATATTATTAAACTTATCAATTTGATGGCGGATCCAGAAAGGTTCAAACGACAATCACCAGTGACAACAGATTCACCCGCTGTAAAATGCAAAAGACTTCGTTCGGACTTCGGAGTGGCTACAGAGAGAAAGAGACTGCAACCAGACCCATGCGAAAACAAGGATAATATAGGAAGGACATTACATGTTGTCACGCAATGCTGACGTTGTTAACAAATGCTGACGTTGTTAACATTAACAATTTGAGAACGAAGTATAATTTGCATGGTTTTGCGTGATATGATTAGCGATTTTTAGATTTAATCAGCGCGATTTACTGCAATGTCAGAACCTGAACAAAAGTGGATGTTACTAGTTCAGATGACATTTTCCGGTGAAAATTATTATGTTGATCATACTTCCAAAAAGAATAATCTGTGATTCTGAATGACACTATCCAAACCGGCACGGCGACTGACAGCTGCACACTCTCCTCAAACATTGTGTTCGTCCACGCTGTGCCGTGTCGAAGTACAACTCACGTAAAGTTGATAATTCTGCGAATAACTGGAATTTGCAGATTTCGTACAGAGATGGCGACAAATAGAAAAAACTGCAGACTGCAGCTTAAAAAAAATTATTACTAAATGTTGAAATTAACATTAATTTTGACAAATGCTGTAGAAGTATTGTTCATTGTTCGTTCATGGCATTAGTGTAGTTAATGTTAATAAATGAAAACTTGTTAAAAAACATGTTAAAGTAAAAAAAAAAAAAAAGAGTTAAATCCTGGGGCTGTATTCACAAAGAATTTTATGAGTTTTTAGCTTAAAACCTATTCACAAAACTCTTTAAGAGCAAGTTTGACTAAGGAACTCTTAATATATGAGTAAGGCGGGGTTGACCTCGTTTCTCTGGATGATGTCACTTTTTTTGCATATATGGCTACATGAAATGCAAACCGTTTGTGTGTGCGTGCGTGCACGCTTGATTTCTATCCTGGTGGGGACTTCAACCTGAATGCACACTGACTCATGGGGAGTCGTCTTGTCACAGTGGGGACTTAAATTGAGGTCCCCATGAGTAAACAAGCTTATAAATCATCCAGAATGAGTTTTTTTTTTTTTTTTTATATAAAAATGCAGAAAGTTTTCGGTGATGGGTAGGTTTAGGAGTAGGGTTAGTGTAAGGGGGCTGAATATCCAGTTTCTACAGTATAAAAACCATTACGTCTATGGAGAGTCCCCACAAAGATACAGATTTGTGTGTGTGTGTGTGTGTGTGTGTGTGTGTGTGTATAGAACATTATCAAGTGTTGAGAGGCTATAGCATACATTATGTTTAACATAATCAAGTATTACACTCGCATCTAATTCTATTCATTATCACCTAATCAATTAAATGGCTAACAATTTTCAAAAACACTGTACGCATATAGTGATGTATAATACAGAACCACCAAGGATAAGACAAAGAAAGGAAAACTGGACTACGTTTAAAACTAAGAAAACACTTTTGCGATACAGATGATACCTTTGTAAAAGGTCGATGTCATTGAAATATTATTGTAATGTTATTGTCTGCGTCAGGAGGAACTTTTATCCTTAAGATTTTTTGTGAATACAGCCCCTGTTTTTAAGGTTGTACTTTCCTTACAGATGGCATCAGCTGATTCTTTGCCATGCTGCTCATTATTTTCATTGTTATATTCTATGTTGTCAATTTTAGGTTAAAAAATAAAATATTTAATCACGATTAATCTCAGAATTTTTCCACAAATAATGCGCCTAAAAAAGGCCTATGTGTAATAGTGTTGTCACGATACCAAAATTATTGTTTCGATACCGATACCAAGTCAAGAATTGCGATTTCGATACTTTTTCGATACTTTTTCTGAAAAGGGAGAAACACTCTCAAATATCATTGCTGTGCTTTATTTTAAAACTGGGACAACATTCCAATCATAACACACTAATAAATGAACATTTGAACAGCAGATAGGCTATAATAACCATTTGAAGAAAATATGAAATATGAAAAATATAAAAAATAAATTAGAGCAATGACATTCTCAGCCACTGACGATTCTGCTTATCGATCCGATTCTTTAACGATTCTCTTATCGATTCATGATAGCATTGTGTGGAAAAAAGTAGTCATATGCTTTTTCGGGGGGAAAAAACAAGTGTTTTTATTTGTTTTATGTAATTTATGTAATAAATGAAACCTTATTACAAAGTGTTAACGATTAGTTATACACCGATTCAGACAGATCAGTTGTTTTAACCATTCATTAAAACGAATCGGTTCAAATGAGTCATTAGTTCGCGAATTGGACGTGTCATTATCGGACGTGTGCGCGTTGTGTGATTATCCAGGCGGTTACATCCCACTGTCATCACAGAAAACATTTCATGACTGGATAGTTTTTTTCGTTTATTTAAAGTGTGGTTTATGTCAGCTGAATGTGCGGAACGATTCAGAGAAGATAAGGCAACGTATTTTACCACAATTTACACCCAGCGGTAATTCAAAAAAAAAAAAAAAAAAAACTCCGAATGCTCCACATGAAACTTTAGTCTCCCGACCTTACCATCGTGTCGAATTATTTTGATTAATATGTGCGAGGGAGAGAGAGAGAGCAAGACAGCGCTTAGTTTTGAGACGGTGAAGCCTTGTTTATACTTTCGCCCTGGCTCCGCAGAGAGAGTGCGCGCGCGCAACCGGGGCTCGCTCACTCTCTCTCTCTCTCTCTCTCTCTCTCTCTCTCTCTCTCTCTCTCTCTCTCTCTCTCTCTCTCTCTCTCTCTCTCTCTCTCTCTCTCTCTCTCTCTCTCTCTCCTCTCCTCTCTCTCTCTCTCTCTCTCTCTCTCTCTCTCTCTCTCTCTCTCTCTCTCTCTCTCTCTGCTCGTTCAGTTCACGCGCCCTGTCACACGCGCATGAGGAGAAAAACACAGACGTCCATAGGGAGGCACTGGAAGCGTGCGTTGCACACACCAACATGCAATACTCTCTTACAAATCTGGAACGCGGTCATTCTTAGAAGTATCGATACTAATAAATTTAGGTATCGTGAAGTTTTTAATTTCCGAGTATCGCGATACTTTTGAAGTATCGGTGCACCGTGCAACACTAATGTGTAATTATTAGGTCTGTAATTTGTTTAGCGGACATTCATGATGTAAATTTATACAACAGTGCTCTTTACAGTCTCACAAAATGTCACACTGAGTAAATGTGTTAAAGCGTTAAACATTTTTAATTAAACTACTTTTTGTTATGCAATGGAATGTAATTTATAAATAACTTTTGTATTATAATTTTGTATTCCTTTGTGTGAAGAGTTTGCTTTAGGTGTATGGGTAGGATTTACATTTAGTATTGAACTAACTTTAAAAAAACAGTATTATTGGTGACAGTTGTTTGTATGCTGCTCCAGAACTCAGTTGGGAGATCACCTCCCACAGAAGTAATTAGCTTCTCAAAATAACCTTATTGCCAGACCCACCATCAAGTCACAGACTGAGCACAAATGAGTGTTAAATTTGTACTGTGGGTATAACATTATTAACCTTTTAAGATTATCAGAATTTTTGGAGTTTGAAGTTGGCAGAAAAGCAATGTGCTAATTGAAATTTAGAACTACAATTGTAAATTGTATACAATGAAAATGTAATTAAATTAAACTAGAGCTTAAAGTAATTATGCCACCTGGGATGCACATTCTTGATGTATTGCTTAACTTCTCACAAAAACTTAATTCTGAGTTCTTCTTACCAAGAAACATACGTGTCTGTGAATATCTACTGTCGGGTCCAAATTCTCAGACCACAAGTGAAAATATTTTTTTTGTTCCTACAAAAAAGATCAGCATGACAATTTGATTGAAAAGTTGAATTATACAATGTTTTAGCTTTTGATTTAATGACAGCAACACAAGGACACAAACTTCACAAGTTAGATCAAAACAATAGGTTACTGTCGTAACCCTGGTTCTCTGAAACATCGAGTGGAGAGATCCACCTATGGGAAGGGCATCCGTACCTGACCTCTGCAGAAGCATCCAATTGCACCAAGTCTGGCAAGACAGACAGAAGCGCGCAGCCAATGCCAGGTAAGGCCCCACCCCCTTACCTGAGGGCATATAACGCCTGCAAGCACTGCTGTTCTCCAGGAAGTATATTCGCTTCTTGTGCAGCAAGCGGGGCAAAGCTGGTGGATCTCTCTACTCGATGTTTCAGAGAACCGGGGTTACGACAGTAACCTATTGTTCTCTTTCATAATCACGTGTTCGAGATCCACCTATGGCAGAGACATGGACAGCTCCCCGATTGCCCAATACACTCACAGTGAGGTTCTGTAAGCCAGAGAAAGACGGTCACCCAAAGGGACGGTGCCTGACACAATCCCATAATCATGAACCCACCATACAGACGCACACACATAACTGCTGTGTACAGGCAGGACATGAAACGTTTGTGGCACACACAAGAGAAGGAAGGGTTAAGACGACCCCACCCCCAAAACAGAATGTGCTACCGAGGTTCTAGTGACATCCAGCCTGTAGTAACACACAAACGTATGGGGAGAAGCCCAGCTGGCAGCAGATCAATGTCCTGTAGCGATACTCCCCTGAACAGAGCCCAAGAGGCGGCTAAGCCCCTCGTGGAATGAGCTCTGATGTCCCCTGGGGGCTGCACTCCCTTAGATTCATATGCAAAAATTATAGCGTCCACAAGCCAATGTGAGAGGCGTTGCTTAGATATGGGATTCCCCTTGCGAGGGAATGCCCATGAAATAAAGAGCTGGTCACTCTTCCGGAAAGCACTGGTCCTAGCCAAATATGTCTGTAAGGCACGGACAGGACACAGGGCATTCAGCCTTTGATCCTCCGCAGATGAGAAAGGTGGAGGGTAAAAAGCGGACAGCTCTAACCCCTCCGATGTGAACGCAGGGAAGCATTTCGGCATAAAGGCCAGATTAGGCTTAAGGAAAACCTTATCTCCACCAAGAGAGAATTTAGTGCCCGAGGAATGAACCGAGAGTGCATGCAGCTCACTGACATGTTTAGCTGATGCCAAGGCCAAGAGCAAAGCTGTCTTGAAAGACAGCAGTTTTAGGGAAATATTTCCCAGGGGCTCAAAAGGGAATTAAGACAGAGCCTCCAGAAGCCATGGAGAGGTCCCATTAGTGACCGCTCTTCTGATGACTGGCAAAGAGCGCCGGGCACCCTTCATAAATCTGCGGATTAGAGGATGCTTCCCAACCGTTGAGCCCTCAAAACCCACATGACAAGCAGAAATCGCTGCCAGGTAGACCTTAAACGTGGAAAAGGACCTGCCCTTATCCATGAGGTCTTGAAGGAAACACAAAATATCAGGAACTGCACACTGATATGATGTGAGACCACGCCCAACACACCACTCTTCGAACACTTGCCACTTACAGCCATATAAGGACCGCATAGAAACGGCCCTAACATTCTGTATAGTAGCAACTACACGCGGGGGAAGTCCTAGTGCGCTTAGGTTTGTCCTCTCACGGGCCAGGGCCAGAGAGCCACCCTGTCCGGATGTGGGTGATAAATCTCCCTGTTCGCTTGGGACAATAGGTCTGTATGAAGGGGGAGGCGCCACGGCTGGGCATATAACGAAGGGATTATCTCCGCCAACCATGGTGCCTTGGGCCAGTGTGGGAATTATCAGGCACAGGGGAGTAAAAGCAAACAGCAGCACTTTAGGCCATTGGTGGGCCAGTGCATCTACCCTGAGGGGTGCGTCCACGTCCTTTAGTGAGAAGAACATAGGACAATGGTAGTTTTGGAGGATGGAGGCGCTAATCTCCCCTCGATAGAAGGTCCGCGCCTCTATTCAGAATGCCTGCTTAAGGTATCCGCGTGCTTAAGGCCCAAGCAGACCACGCAGAACGGGTGAAGGTCCTTCGCGGCAATCAGCGCACCACACGCGGCCGGTCGTCGCAGGACTTTTTTTGGCAGCATCAGGCAATGACTGCAGTCATTGCCTGACTGCAGTCATTGGAAAAATCCGTGGCGGGCAGCCGTGGAAAGGGAAACAGGTGAGAAGATGCGAGAGCGTGGGAGGCTCTGAAGCAAACACAGCTAAACTTGGTAGAAAAACAACTGTCACGCCTGGCGGAGGCTGATCTGGCGATTTGTCCTCCTGCAGACACGTAAGGTGAGCAGCGTAAATCCAACCAAGCTGTATCAGTGCAGAGATCGCAAGAAGCGAATGTCAACTGGAGAACAGCAGCGCTTGCAGGCGTTATATGCCCAATGCTCAATTTGTCTCAATTTTTAAAAGAAGTCTCTTATGCTCACCAGGGCTGCTTTTATTTAATCAGAAATGCAGCAAAAACAATAATATTGTGGGATATTATTAAAATTTTGAAGAAAAATGTAATAATATAATTTTAATTTATTCCTGAAGGGCAAAGCTGTCCTTATTATTCCAACGTCACATGATCCTTCAGAAATCATTCTAATGCTGATTTGGAGCTCAAGAAACGTATCTTATTATTATATCAATGTTGAAAACCATTGTGCTGCTTAATATTTTTGTGGAAACAGTGATACATTTTTTTTCAGGATTCTTTGATGAATAGAATGTTCAAAAGAACAACATTTACTTGAATTTTATTTGTGATGTAAACGTTTTTACTGTCACTTTTGATCAATTTAAGTCATTCTTGCTGAATAAGTCCTTTCCTTCTTTTAAAAAAAACCTTGCAGTTACTGAACAGAAACTTTTAAACAGTGTCCAGAAAGGTTCCAAGAAACATTCAAAATCTTGCAACAGTGTTCATTATACAAGCATCTTTAATTCTCAAAGCATCTTACATCTTTAATATAATCTTTAATAATACCCTGTTTCTGTTTTTTAGAATAATAGTTGCTGCTAGGAAGGATTAATTAGTTTACTGTTTATTTGTATTTTCTTTTTTATTATTATTCTAATTTATGTTTTGATTGCAATGTAATTAGAATGATAGCTGTCGGGAAGAAGAAGCGCTTTAGCGCTTAACTGCAGAACTGTCCCGCAGTAGTTTCGATTTGCGCCATTCACATGCAGTAGGTGTTTGGTTTGCTAAGGATATTTAGATTAATATTCATTCAAACCTCCAAATAAATCAGAATCAACATTGCCTCTTCTGCAGGAATAACGAAGGTCTGGTGAGTGCAGAGCAGGTGTTGAGAGGACTCGGACTGGACCCGTCCCCTGAAGACAGTGTGGCCACGCAGCGTGTGTGTCAGATTGTGTCTACACGTGCGGCCCATCTCTGTGCTGCCACGCTGGCGGCTGTGCTACGGCAGATCCGAGATAACAAAGCCCTAGAGAAATTGCGCACCACTATTGGCGTGGATGGATCGGTCTACAAAAACCACCCACAGTGAGTCCATTCTCCAGTACTTGTGTGCGCTTGTTGTGGTACCAAATGATCACCATTTTCATACACCATTGTATTTACATGCCGTTGTATTTACAAGAATACCATGGCGAATGTATTGTAGATGTTAGATTTCCACCTTTTTCTGTTTCTTCTCAGTTGTTCAGATTATTCTAACTCAACAATATACTCGAAAGCTCATTATTGTAAGGTTGTACCCCTGGGTAATGCGTTTCAGTAAAGCTCTTGAGGATGTAATTAAAAAAAGTTTTTGCCACGTGTTTAACAGTAAAGGAGAAGGAGCGAGACAGAGAAAGACAGTTGCACTAGCCCCCAAATATGAAATTATTTTTTAAGCAAGTGATACTCTAAATAAGAAACTAAAACTCCCAGTGGCGGTAAGTGTCTAAATGAGAAAGTCAATGAGTCATTAATTCGATTCGTTCACATTATGAAATAAATGTTTTTCTCTAAAACACGTTGCCCACAATCATTGGCATCCCTAGAATTTTTTTATGAGTAAAATATCTCTGAAGTATATTCCCATTAATGTTTACCTTTTTTTAGCACACCAGGGTGACTAGGAACATGAAATTGTCTAGCTATGACTTCTTGTTTCACAGGAGTTTAAATATGAGGAAACACAAAGGCCAAATTCCCTCAATCATAGTTCTGATGTGCATCAAAAGATTGTTGAGCATCACAAAATAGAAAGTGGCTGTAAGAAAATAGCTAAAGAATTGAAAATCCCCATTTTGACCATCAGGGCAATAATTTATATATATAATAATTAAAATAATTAAAAGTTTGAGTGGCCAAAGACTCTCCAAAGATCACAGATGGAGAATTGCAGAGATTACTTGAGTCTTGGGGGTCAGAAAGCCTAAAAAAAATATATCAAACAACCCCTACATCAACACATTTCAAGAAAAATCCTCCTCGCTCCTCCCAAAAAATAAACTCCAGCATATTCATTTGTAAGACACGACCGGAACTTCAAAAGGGACCGGATTCTGTGGTCAGATGAAACAAAAAAGGGCTTTTTGGCAGCAAACCTACCAGATGTGTTTGGTGCAAACAGGGATAAAAAGTACCCCATGCCTTCGGTTAAATATACTGCTGGATCTTATATGTTGTGGGCCTATTTTTTTGCCGGAGGTCCTGGACATCTTTTTCAGATACATGGTATTATGGATTCTATCAAATACCAACAGATACAAAATCAAAACCTGACTGCCTCTGCTAGAAATCTTATAATGGGCCGTGGTTGGATCTTCCATCAGGTCAACGGTCCAAAACAAAAATCAAAATCAACACAAAAATGAGCACAAAATGAAGCTTCTGCCATGACCGTCCCAGTCCCCTAAACGGAACCCTATAGAAAATGAGTGGGGTGAACTGAAGAGAAGAAGCACCAACATGAACTTGTGAATCTGAAGGATCTGGAGAGATTCTGTATGAAGGACACAGGGCCTTGAGTCAAGTCAAGTCAAGTCATCTTCATTTATATAGCGCTTTTAACAATGGAGATTGTTTCAAAGCAGCTTTACAGAGATAAACATACAATTTACGGTAACAGAGATTGTTTTGGCTTTATAGCGATTTTGAATAATGTTATTTCCGGCTAAAGTTGGTTTTGATTGATTCACTTCCAGCAAAATTATCATTTGTTATTACATTAGGGGCCACTAAGACGACGGCGTTCTCTCTAAACAGACTTTAAACGCGAACCTGTGACCGGATGGCGTTCATATGCGCATTAAAAATTGATTCTATAGTTATATTCGTTTGAGAAAGTATTCAAACTTTTTTTCACATTTTGTTATGTGAAATTAACATTTTGTTCTTTTGAGAGGGTTTGTTACACTTACCAACTGTTATTTCTGAAATCTGGCCCCTGACTGAGCCTGTTTTTTTCTCCACTACTGTAACCAGATGTAGTTTTGGTTCTGTGCCACTGTCGCCTTTGGCTGGCTCAGTGGGGGTTTAAAAGAAAATTAATATTCAGAAATATTAACGATTTAACTGCATTGACTGATTGGATGAGAACAAAATCTGATCTGAATTGAACTGTCATACTATCATACTCCCTAATTGAAGACTGAAAAAGCTGACAGACTAAACAACCTCTGTTGTAATGGATTGACAAGAAAATAGACTGACCATCGACTAATCTAGACTGATCTTTAAATATGATTTAATTTGTTAAAAAACATAGATCGTACTGTGTCCGCATTTATACTTTATTTCTCATTTAAGTGTTTGACAATGCTAGAAAAAATGTTGTTTACAAATTGGCCATGGATAATCACTGTGGCGATATTTTAGATCCGAGCAGAGCAGGGCGACGGTTCTTCAGTTTATTCATGAACTCATTGTCATTGTCACACAAGAGCCCATTTCAATAACTCAGTGGCTCTCCTGAATGTTGTCAGAGAGTTTGGCAAGGCCATAAGCGCAGCAGGGAGTTGAAATTCTGGGGGCTTTTAACAACCACCCGCTGAGACACAGCTGCATGCATCAATTTTCTCTGATTCCTCAACGACTATGTAAGTGAAGTGTATGACTGAAAAATTACTGAAAATCTGTTAGTTGGTGATGTGCTGTGCAATTATACTTAAAGACATTTTCCTGGAAAAAGTGTTGATGAATTTTTATTGCTGTCTTGGAATTTCATTTATTAATATAATAACTCATTAATTTTCAGTTATTGTTGATAATTTTATTTTAAAGGAACTTAACGTCTGGTAATTTTTTTTATTTAACATCTATCTATCTATCTATCTATCTATCTATCTATCTATCTATCTATCTATCTATCTATCTATCTATCTATCTATCTATCTATCTATCTATCTATCTATCTATCTATCTATCTATCTATCTATCTATCTATCTATCTATCTATCTGATTAATTAATCGAATTAATCACAAATTATTCATCAAATTTGACTGAGAAATTACCCCCAAAAGATCATTTAAAGTCATTATTGCGTTAAATGAGAAAAGCATAACAGACATTGCAAAAACTTTAGAAAGAAATTTGATTCAACATAGAATTTATTACACATAAACTTTTAGGCTACAATGGCCATGTAAAAAATAACATCCGAATTGCTATTTAGATATATCTACAGACCAAAACCGTTTGGTCAGCATTCTTTAAAATATCTTCTTTTGTGTTCCGCAAAAGAAAGTCATAAAGGTTTCAAATGTCATTAGGATGAGTAAATGATGACAGAATCTTTATTTTTGCGTGAACTATCCTGTCTACTTTCGATAAGAACTTTACCTTGGTGTTGTGCAGAGCACTTATTTACATGCTTTATGAAATTAAAGCAATCTTCAAGCATCAACGTTAATTAGTTGTGCTATTTTAAGCTGGCACACTCAACTTGGGTTCACAGCTTTCACCACCTTGGGTGCTAACACATGCATTCATAGAAAGGGATCATGCTCGAACATTTTCTAAAGGTGTGGATGGGACTTTCAGAGATGACTGTACTTCTTTGTCAAGATACGTCTGTGTTGATTGGCTGTGCACAAGTGCCATCACGTGACAGTCATATGCAGTGGGGGGGCATGAGTGAAATTAGATAAACGTAGGGGGGCGCATGTCCTAAAAGTTTGAAAAACCCTGTATTAGATTTTGCAAACTGCAAAAGAGGAAAATGTTTCATTTGATGAGCCATATATCATAATTTTGACTGTTTTCTGACATGTTCAATTTAAATATTCCTCTAGCGATCTATCTTCATTTCAGTCTTGCTTCCAGTTTAAGTGGTTATTGAGTAACTACTTGATAGTAAGAAAAGGTGTTTTACCTCGATGTATGCATAGTTTTATATACAGCAGCTGCAATGGTAAGGGATTTTCCTTCAATAATTCAAATCTTGTTCCTAAATTGTCTGTTCCCTAGGGCTAGGCTGACTCAATATAGTTTTAAATGACTGATAGTATCTTTAAGCTTTTTTTTGTGTCAAAATGTTATGTTTTGCCAGAATTCCTTTATATTATAATTGATCAGAATTTTTTAACATGCCCTTACATCATTTTTACTTTAAGTTAAATTGAATTAAATTAAATTAATTCAATTTGAAGATCATTATGTTTGCAAGTCTAAGGCTTATCCGACTTTTTTTCTCCAAAAAATGAAAAATGTAAAAAATCCACACCATCACACATTATTCCAAAATCCACTTGAAGATTTATCAAGACCCTGGTCAGATCTTTATTCCAGGTTTTTTTTTTTTTAGTTCATATATAATTTAACTGAAGAATCACCAAACTACAATTACAAACATTGCATTACCACTCAAAGTAGTACTTTGAATGTATTCTCTACCAACTATTTTATTATGAACTAATGTTATTTTCTCCTGTTCCCCATCTTGTACATCTTTCACATTTTCCTCTCACCTTTCCTTTCCTTTCTTCTTCTTTCTTTGCTTTTAAAGCCTCTCATACACAAACACACTCTTTTGCTCTGTGGTTTTTCCGGTAGGTTTGCCCGGCGACTGAATAAAATGGTTCGATCATTGGTGCCTGACTGCGACGTGCGTTTCTTGCGCTCTGAGGATGGCAGCGGCAAGGGGGCTGCCATGGTTACAGCCGTGGCATACCGGTTGGCAAAGCAGCATGCAGAACGTCAGCGTATCCTGGACACCCTACGCCTCAATCGGGATCAACTCCTGGAGGTGAAGAAAAGGATGGAAGGGGAGATGAACCGAGGCCTGGCTAAAAACACACACCTTGCAGCCACTGTTAAAATGCTGCCCACCTTTGTGCGCTCTACACCGGATGGAACAGGTTAGAGTTAGAAACCGATTTTTTTCTAATAATTTGTGCAAACTAAAAGAAGTCAAAATGCCATGATCTTTTATTCACCCCCGTGTTCCAAAACCAGATTTTTTTTGTGAAAGCAAAACATTTTAACAATTCATAAAACAGTTCACAGTAGGGGTGTAAGAAAAAATCGATACACTTGAGTATCGCGATATTTTATTTTGCAATACTGTATCGATTTTCAAAAACGCAATATCGATTTTTTTTTTAGTTTACGTGCAAAAATATTCATACTATTGCCGTGGTTCGCGTTTATGTTGTGTTTAAATCCCTACCACTAGATGGCTAGAATGAGACGCACCACTAGTGTCCTCGCCTACAGTGTCTATGATTTTGATTAATATGCGCGAGGGAGAGAGAGCAAGACAGCGCGCGTGTTGTTTGAAGACGTGAGAGTGCGCGCGCGCGGCCGGGGCGCTCTCTCTCTGTCTCTCTCTCTCTCTCTCTCTCTCTCTCTGCTCGTTTGCGTCCTGTCAAGCGCAGCAGTCTTTCTATTCTACATCACTCACCGATAAAAAAAGGCTTTGGCGGGACACAAATTTGTTTTGGCAGCCGCTAAAAAGCGGACGATTTGACGGGTTTTAAAAGATTAAATACAACCCGAAACTAAAAAACAGACCCCTCCTCTATTTGAGACTGGCCTTTATTTACCCAAACCTGTCGCCACATCAGGCGTGTAAAAGAGACCGGCGTCTATATGGGACTCGCTATTATTTGAAGTTTTACGGTATGTGTTGGATGTACCCTGTATGAATAATAGTGCAAGCATTTTTTTAATGACAGATTGCCCCTCAGATTGCACCTTATGTGTTATGCATTAGCCTAGATGTCACAGTAAGGGGCTATGTATTTTCTTTAACTGACTATTTATATATTTGTTCCTCAATGTTTCCTGTAGGAATTGGGGATATTCAAATTAATTAACCAATCATTAATACCATTGATCAGCCCTACCTAACGTGGATGTTTTTTCCACTAAGAAACAAACATTGTTATGTTATTTTGATTTATACTGTGAAGCTTTGATAAAATTGTGAAAAGCGCTATATAAATATACTTGACTTGACTTGAATTGTGTTCGTGTTTTTGCAACACAAAACGTGTTGGATGTACCCTGTGTACTAGGAATAGTGCAAGCATTTATTTATTTTTATTGACATAGACAGATGTCTTTTCTTTTTTCAGATTGCACACATGTGTGTATGTTATGTATTGTGACAGGGGCTATGTATTTTCTTTTATTAAGGCCTACTTGAGCATATACAAATTTGCTCACTAAGAACCTGTGAACCACAATCCCAAACTGGCAGTTTGATTTTCTGTGTACTGAATTGTTTATCTAAAGTAAACTTGTTTGAATTTTATGCACATCATGTCTTTTTTTTTTAAATAATACTTTCTAAAATTGTAGTCCTACTTTAAAAAAATCGCAATATATCGCCTTATGCACAGTATCGAAATATATCGCAATATATTGAATCGTGACCCATGTATCGCGATACGTATCGTATCGCCAGATTCTTGCCAATACACAGCCCTAGTTCACAGTGAGCACATCTGTCGAGCTCTAAAATGAACATAAAACACGATGAAAGCACAATAATTGTGCTCCATATGACTACAGTATATTCCAAGTATACCGAAGTGTGAAGAACATACCAGAATTTACTGCAAGTTGCCTAGGATTCCAAAATGGTTTGATTGGTTTTTGCACATTGTTTATTTATTTAGCATTTACCTTTTTATTTATTTTGTATTTTGCTTATTGAGTGACTTGGTTTGCATTTTACTTACTGATTGAATTGTTTTACATTTTATGTATTTATTGATTTAATTTGCATTTGATTGATTTATTTGTTTGCAGTTTAATTATTTATTTATTTGTTTTACATTTTACGGAACACTTTAGTTTAGGGTCCAATTCTCACTATTAACTAGTTGCTTATTAGCATGCACATTACTAGGTATATTAGTACTTCTAAAGCACATATTAATGCCTTATTCTGCATGATAATATTCTACGTCCCTTAATCCTACCCAATACCTAAACTTAACATCTTCCGTACTTACTATTAATAAGCAGAATTTAGGAGTTTGAGGCAATTTGTTTGCATTTTACTTATTTATTGATTTGTTTAGCATTTTACTTATTCATTGATCGCTTTTGCATTTTACTTATTTATTTGTTTTGCATTTTACTTATTTATTGATTTGTCTTGCATTTTATTTTATTTGTTTTGCATTTTACTTATTTTATTTTTAATCTGAACATTTATTCGACTACATACAAGCTCTGGTGAATTTGATTCATCGTTGTTGTTGTTGTTTTCTATCCTCCTTGAACCCCATTGATAGATGTTGTCACTATGAACTGTTTAAGAAAACCGCTGCAAAAATGTATGCTTGTGTGCTCGTGGAAAAAAATACAGCAACAGCTTTGTAGTTCTGATCACAAATGGGAATGTAATGCATGCAAAATAAGATGTCATTCCATCTTGCCAAAGAATAAAAGAGAATTTGGAGGGGAAACTATTCTCAGAAACTATTTCTGAGAATGTTTTCCATGCATAATTTCATAAAATTCTATCCCTGACTGTGTACAGTATGTGGGCAGAGATAAATCATACAGAACAGAAAGTGTTCATGGTAACATAAACTGCTCCCCTGTCTTGCCTACACTTGACCACAGGATCTCACTTCACTCCCATGATAGTACCTGTATCACGTTGCTTCTTGTTTGCATAAAGAGCTTCTCGATTGCCAGTGGACCCTCTCACCTGTGTTGCTTCAAATCAGTCTCTTCTTTAAAAATAGTTTGCTTTAAATAAACAATATGATTGCTAACATTAGTGAAGCAAAAACACTTTCAGTCTCCTTCACCTCTCACTGTAGGTTTTGAAAGACTACTTGAAATATACATTTGTGTTGCTCTACAGTGGACATGTATGAAATCGATGTCTTGTTTCGTAACAGAAAGTCATATTTTGATTTGAAACCCCATAACATGTTCCTGAGATGTTTATTTATTTATATAAATCCAAAATGTGTCAGTTTGAAATAATTACAAAATATTATCATATTTCCATAAGTGTTGAATTTGATCACTAAATTAATGTCAGTCATTTTTAAAGTCCAAGAAGAGGCAGTTGTCATTGTGAAACGCCCTGAATCTGCTCTTTACAGGACATCCAGACTTTTGACCAATGCAGGACAAATAAAATAATAGATACACTGGACTGTATGTAAGACCTTGACTGGGATAAGACACAAATCAATTACCCCTCTATATCTACCCCTCTAAAAATTTGATTGGTGTGTGAGTGCACGTCTGAACAAGATGATGTGTGCTCTATCTTGTGTGTGTGAGAGTCATTTCGGTCTCTGAATCTCTTGTGCATGCTCTACAGAGCGTGGTGACTTTTTGGCACTGGATCTGGGCGGCACAAACTTCAGGGTGCTCTTGGTGCGTGTTCGAAATGGAAAACGACGGAGTGTGGAGATGCATAATAAGATCTACACTATCCCCCAAGACATTACGCAGGGCACCGGCGAGGAGGTACGCCCACTAATCATATTCCACATCATTAAAACCCATTCAAGATTTGAATTTGGTACATGGTGGATTCCTTTCATTTACAAGGTTTCTTTTTGTATTTTTTCTCAACTGAGCTGCTGAATTGAAATGAAAAACTAATACATGATGATATTGTATGTTTTGGATTGCAAGTCAAGCACACTAGAGGTAGTATGCACCTAATAACGATATCCCTGTTTTTGAACCTGAAAAACACTCACCTTTTTGCAATTTATTTGAAAGTGGTCACTGGCAGCACTCAAGTGCTACTATCCTGTTGTCTGCTGCATAGTGGTGTATTGTAGGATGGAATATCACATCCAGTCACTTTGCAGCGTAACCTGTTCTCTTGTACTTCCTTGATTTTCAATTCCATATTGGCATGACATTAATGGAAGTTGCTGTGACAAGTACATGTCATGGATAATGGACTTTGTTCATGAATGATCCTTTGTCTTCACCTACGTATGTGTGTGTCTGTGTGTGTGTTTATGAATGGTTCTCTGCAGCTGTTTGATCACATTGTGCACTGTATAGCTGACTTCTTGGAGTATATGGGTTTGAAGGGGGCATCCCTGCCTCTTGGTTTCACCTTCTCGTTTCCCTGCCATCAGACCCGACTGGACCAGGCAAGTACACACATACACATACTTGTCTATCTAGCTATCCAAATGAGGACAAACCATAGACTGATTTTGTTTCCAAATAAAGTTAAAATGAAGTATTTTTGGTGATTTTAACATTGAAAAGTGTATTTTCACGAATAGGGTACAAAATGGAGCTTAAACTCTTAAAAATTAAGAACTAAAATTGGTAACTTATAAACTTACATATATATATATATATATATATATATATATCGAAGTGTGAATGTATGTGTGTATATGTATGTGTGTGTGTGTGGTGACTTTTTTAACTGGGTATGTCAAAAAAAAGTGCCCGATGCAGATACATTGGATGGGTTTATTACAAGCGAGATGCTCCCGTTCGCTCTATAGTGTACAGAGTCTCTTACTCTCATGCCATTTTAATATGTTGGACCTTTTGCGAAAGGGCCGTTTGCAAAATATGCTGTATTTTTGCAATTCCGACTAGTGTCGTAGAAACTACAAACTTCACCTTTAAACGGTACGGCGCATCAGCTGAGGACATACAAAAGACTCAGATCTAAATCAGAGATGACAAATAAGAAACACCATGGCAAGTGTCAATTTAAATGCATGTCGGAAGTTGTTGTTTTTTAAATTAAGAATAAAAAAGTATAATATAATAAATATTAGTAGCCTGTAATATATAAAATAAGTAAAATATAATTATTATATAAATATAAGAATAGTACATACAAATATAAGTATTCTTTACAAAACAAGTTGAAATAATGCAATGACTTTAACAAACTCATAGACTATCGATTAACAACATTTTGATAGTTACAGTAGCCTAGGTTTGTCTTTAACAGTTTATAGTGTAAGTTTTAGATAAAATAATTTCCCTGTGGAGAAAATGAAATACTGAAAATAATTTCAGTTATGACTTTAAAAAAAAAATTGATTTAGTTTTGTATCAAATGCTTTGTGATTTCCGTTAATCGAGATCTGGCAGCAATTTTTCTGCTTGGGCGAGCGGTTCTTCGACAGCTTTCACTGCGCATGAAATCTCCCATATGCCAGCAAAACAATGAGAACGTGGGACAATGATGACGATACATATCAACCGAGCATAGGCGCCAAAATTGCTTCTTTTTACCTGTAAAACTTACTCTGTAATTTTATATTATATAGTAGACAGTGTAATGGGTCTCTCTCTTTTTTCGCTTAAAAAAAAATATAATGGGAGACCAATTTGTACCCTATTCATGGAAAGTTGCACATGTATTATTTAAGTAATTTTTCTTTTAAGATGATGTATCCAAAAGTTTTAGAAAAACTCTCTCTCTCTCTCTCTCTCTCTCTCTCAAAACAAAAAGTTGTCTACAGTGTTGTCCTGTGTCCACTATATTCCCATCTCTCTTCCTCACAGGGTATCCTGATAAAGTGGACGAAGGGCTTCAAGGCCTCAGGCTGTGAGGGAGAGGATGTGGCCACACTGCTGAAAGACGCCATCCATCGCAGTGAGGTCAGCACTATCACTCACCGCTGGTGCTCTACTGCTGCGAGAGCAATTTCTGCAGTTATTAGTCACAATTACCCTGCCTTTTATAGCAAGATGTAATTAGTAGATGTTCAGTCAGATGAATCGTGTCCTGAAAGACAGTGATGGTGGATTTGCTCTGCCTTGCTGGTAATACTTCTCTCTCTCTGTATGTCCTTTATTCCTCACAGGAATTTGATTTAGATGTGGTTGCTGTGGTGAATGACACTGTGGGGACGATGATGACGTGTGGGTACGAGGACCCACAATGTGAAGTTGGACTCATTGTCGGTGGGTGTGATTTCTTGGCCTATGTGCCTCTGATTAGCCTGTTTTTTCTAGATGACTTTAATGTCGCAAAAGGTTTAGTGATTATCTAGTTGGCTCAATAATTATTTGAACAACAAAGTCTTAATTTAAATATGCATTAGAGCTTAAAGCTAGGTAGCATACAAATTATGCATTTTGCAGAACCAAAACTTTTTTGAGCCATTTTTTGCAATTAGCTTTAAGCAACTGGTGTCAACATGATTTTTAGAAAATGCGTTAAGTCGGATCCCCTCACTGGTTTGACTACCGCAAAGTGCCCAAATATTTTTTATTCAGATGTGTGCTTTTGCTATCTTAATTATTAAGCAAGTCGATATTCTGATCATATTTTTTTCCAAGCACATTTTTCAAATTCCAAGCTGCGTTAATCTTAATCTTAATTTTGTATGTAATAATTTATAAGTGATTATATAATCGTTAACGAGGGCTGAAAGTGAAAAACAGCTTATATTCAGAAGTTTTTTTATTTAGTGGGTTTTCTGTTAAAGGTTAACAAAGGTTAAATGGGACCTTTATATAATAAAGTAGATAATAAAGTATATTTAACTCACACTGAAAATGTAGCTTTGCTTTCCATTTTATTACTTTCAGCACACTAAGTACTTCGATACCACAGCAAAACCTACTAGCCTAACTAATAAAGTTCAAACATTATTAAAGGCTAGTGAACAGTCAGTAATACACTAATTACATGCATAGATAAATACTGTATAACAAATAAAGTAAGGTCTAACTGTAGTGTATTCAGATACAGACATGTAATAATTAGGCCTAAATGTAAAATAACAATATAGTACTCACTGTATGAATTAAATATAGATTAATCTTTGTTAAACTTTGTTGTCTCATTAACATTAATGACTTAGACAGCAACAGGTATTTTTTAGGTTGCTGTCACTTTAAGACCGAATGCACGAATCCAATATAATGATCCACATCCAATTTCTTTCTCAACTGCACAGCGCCGCTTCAAGTCAAACACACCATTGTGTATCTGTCTACGGCACACTTAAATGTGTTTCTTTCTTCACCCTGTAGGCACAGGGACTAACGCATGCTACATGGAGGAGATGTCAAACATTGAGCTGGTGGATGGAGATGAGGGCCTTATGTGTGTGAACATGGAGTGGGGAGCGTTCGGGGACAGTGGAGAGCTGGGTGATGTTTGCACAGAGTTTGATCGAGCTGTGGATGACCAGTCCACTTACCCTGGGAAACAGCGGTGAGAGTTCAAAACTAGATCCCTTTATGCAATGTTGTCAACGTCCCGTTAGAGAAATGTCCATATCTAATGGGGTTTCAGATCCAGGTGCAGCTCATGTGAAAGTCTGCTGTTTGAATCACCCGAGGTTTTTGCATTGGCTTCCAGTCACACATGAAATAGATTTTTAAAGTGCTATTACTAATTTATAGATGACTCAATCAAAATACATTACGGATATGCTTGCAGGATTTAAACCTAATGGACCTCTTAGATCATTCGATTCAGGTCAGCTTAGTGCAATGCCAAGAGTTCATTTTAAATATGATGAAACAGCGTTTAGCTACTAAACTGCCCGCAGCTGGAACCAACTTCAAGAGGATATCAGATGTCAGTGTCCCAAAAGTAGTCAGACTCTAGTCTAGACTGTAAATACATCTTTTTATTTTTGCATTCTCCATCATAGGAATAGTCAACGCATTCTCATCCATTGGCGTCCTATAGCGTCAATATAACACGCACTGTTATGGGTAGGTTTAGGTCTGGGGTAGGATACGGTTATGACGCCTTGGGATCTGTGTCTCATATTCACGCTAAACAATGCCATGTGCGTTGGATTTAGACGAGCGTCACCTGTATGACGCCTTGGGTTCTGCGTCTCATGTTGATGCTAAAGGATGCCATGTGCGTAAGATTTCAACGAAATGTCCAAAGCGTCACATGTATGACGCCAAAGGATGAGAACGGGCTGGAATAGTTTACATGTACAGTTTTTGTATCTAATTGTAGCTTGAATACATGTTACATATACCTAAAGGATTATTAGGAACACCTGTTCAATTTCTCATTAATGCAATTATCTAATCAACCAATCACATGGCAGTTGCTTCAATGCATTTAGGGGTGTGGTCCTGGTCAAGACAATCTCCTGAACTCCAAACTGAATGTCAGAATGGGAAAGAAAGGTGATTTAAGCAATTTTGAGCGTGGCATGGTTGTTGGTGCCAGACGGGCCGGTCTGAGTATTTCACAATCTGCTCAGTTACTGGTATTTTCACACACAACTATTTCTAGGGTTTACAAAGAATGGTGTGAAAAGGGAAAAACATCCAGTATGCGGCAGTCCTGTGGGCGAAAATGCCTTGTTGATGCTAGAGGTCAGAGGAGAATGGGCCGACTGATTCAAGCTGATAGAAGAGCAACTTTGACTGAAGTAACCACTTGTTACAACTGAGGTATGCAGCAAAGCATTTGTGAAGCCACAACACGCACAACCTTGAGGCGGATGGGCTACAACAGCAGAAGACCCCACCGGGTACCACTCCTCTCCACTACAAATAGGAAAAAGAGGCTTGTTGCTTGGTCTGATGAGTCTCGATTTCTGTTGAGACATTCAGATGGTAGAGTCAGAATTTGGCGTAAACAGAATGAGAACATGGATCCATCATGCCTTGTTACCCCTGTGCAGGCTGGTGGTGGTGGTGTAATGGTGTGGGGGATGTTTTCTTGGCACACTTTAGGCCCCTTAGTGCCAATTGGGCATCGTTTAAATGTCACGGCCTACCTGAGCATTGTTTCTGACCATGTCCATCCCTTTATGGCCACCATGTACCCATCCTCTGATGGCTACTTCCAGCAGGATAATGCACCATGTCACAAAGCTCGAATCATTTCAAATTGGTTTCTTGAACATGACAATGAGTTCACTGTACTAAAATGGCCCCCACAGTCACCAGATCTCAACCCAATAGAGCATCTTTGGGATGTGATGGAACGGGAGCTTCGTGCCCTGGATGTGCATCTCACAAATCTCCATCAGCTGAAAGATGCTATCCTATCAATATGGGCCAACATTTCTAAAGAATGCTTTCAGCACCTTTTTGAATCAATGCCACGCAGAATTAAGGCAGTTCTGAAGGCGAAAGGGGGTCAAACACAGTATTAGTATGATGTTCCTAATAATCCTTTAGGTAAGTGTAGCTACAGTAGACAGAAAATAAATAAGGAAGGTAGTCTTGCCATTGTCCTCAAATCACATTTACACTTGTGCACATTCATTCCAAAAGGGAATGAGATATGAGTGTAATGGCATGATTTTCAGTGAAAATGATTTTGGTCTATTTTTCTGTGTGTTTACAAACACATGACTATTTGCGTTCCAGGAAGAAATAAACTCAGACTTCTTTTTAACAACATAAATACTAGTAAATTATGTTAATTTAGGTGAACTGTCCCTTTAAGATTCTGGAAAAAGTTGGATGGATTGATAAATTGGTCATTAAAAGTTGTAGTCGGAGATGCGTGGTCTAAATGTTGTCTTGAGATCATGCCAAAGCATCTCAGTCAGGTTGCCAAAAGGCGTATTTTCTTCTGTTGATACCATTTTGTTGTTGGTTTACTCATGTGCTTTGGTTTGTTGTCCTGTTGCATCCTTAAGTGTCTGTTGGGAATCATTTGGCAGACAGATGGCCTTACATTCACCTGCCAAATGTCCTGATAAACTCATTATTTTTCCATTGGTGATGGCTAGCTGTCTGACCCTGAGGCAGCAAGCAATGTCGCCCCAAACCATTATTATGTTTAAGGTGTATTTTTTTTGTGATTACAGTCAGGTACTTTTTTGCCTTGCCACTGTACTTCCATTTGAATGTTACACAAATAGACACTATTTAAAACGTATAGCCACAAGACTGTTAATGTATTAAATTATACATTATACAAATTGCCATTCCTGTGCAAAGTTGTAATCCAATATTTTCACTCATCACTTCAAACTTTTGCAGCAATATGCATTATTGGGGGACAAGGAATAATTTCCTTGTTTCTTTCTGTCACTTTCAGGTATGAGAAGATGATCAGTGGGATGTATCTTGGAGAGATCGTCAGAAACGTACTCTTGCACTTCACTGCCAAAGGTCTGCTTTTCCGTGGCAAACTTTCAGAGAGACTGAAAACTCGCGGAATCTTCGAGACCAAGTTCCTGTCGCAGATTGAAAGGTGTGTAAGAACAGTACTGCCACAGACAGGGCCGTAGCTAGAGGATTCGGGGCCCCCTGAAAAAATATTGATGTGGGCCCCCGCCACCCTCCACCAATATCATATACTGTACAATAGATGAACATGGAGGCCCACATAACAGAAGATGGTGATGTTGTTGTAAAACCTTTATTTTAAAAGTTAAATGTATATATAAAAATTACAACTAATAAAAAAGCAAGAAATTGTTAAATAATAATAAAACCAATTTTTTAAAAGTAATAAAAAAAATTCCCCATCAGTCTGTTATAATTCATAAATCAAAAAGTAAACATTTAAAAAATTGACAAGAATGCAGTCTAATTCAAAAAATAAAAGCATTCATTGTCTTATTTTTTAATAAAGATAATATGGAACTGGTAATATTATTAAATAAAGCGAATACATTTATTCATCCAAGTGCAGTGTGTTTTATTCGTGTTTTCTCGATGTTTTAAATATCATCAGCCGGCAGGTCAGATGCATAATGCAATGCGTCATGACTTGTGTAATTTTTTTAAAACTCTAGTTACAATACTGTAAAAAGACAGGAATTTAGACCACGTAATCATTCGGTCGATTGCGGCGCGCACCGATAATAAAAAATGACTGTACACGGTAGACTGTAGACGGAAGTTTTCTAATTCCCAGCGAAATAACAATATATAACCGGTCTTTAAGAACGTCTTGATCGACTGGGATACAACCACTCTCCTTGCCTCCCTCTCCGTCTTTTCCTGGCATTTCTGGTTCCCTGATTTGTTTTCTTTTCCCCGACATTTTTCAGTCAGTCAGTCTCCTGCTCTTCCACCAACTTCATCGTTAACTTCAGGCTGCCGCCTCAACTCTGATTGGTTCTGTTCACGAGCTGGGGCGGGACTTACAATTTTATTGGGTCCATCTGATGTTTGTCACTGACTCTGACTGAATAATTAATACATACTTTAGGTCGGACTAAACCATTTTTATGGAGGTAAGAGAAGCAGATATTTGGAAAAATATTTACCCAAATTGCACGTTTTTGTTGTTTTCATTTAAATCTCAGGCATACAACTAATATAAATATTAGAATTATTCATACTACAGGGGCCTAAATAGTATAACTGCTGGATTTGTTGGGGCCCCCTGGGCAGCGGGGGCCCCTATAATTGTCACCACCTTTCACCCCACTAGCGACGGCCCTGGCCACAGACTGCATGAATTGTTAACATTGGTGTCTGAGCCCCAGGGGCTTCTCTGTTGTAAGCATGCTGATTATGTCCAATATTATTTGATGAGCCTAAGGCGTCTTGGCGCATATAATAAGATGTGCTGTTTTCTTTTATGCTTAATCATAAAGGTAATATTCCAAGCGAGGACTGCCTGCAAATTTTGGTTTGATTTGACAATTCTTGCATATCTGTGCTGTAGTATTTGTATTCCATATTCCTCAATGTAACCGTAATGTTTGTTAACCTTGATTTAATTTACTACTAATTTACGACATGATCTACTTGTCATGTAGGAGGATATATGCAATACAATTTGCTCTGTGACTATTGATTATTAAAGGGGTCATATTTTTACATTTTTATTTTCTTACCTGTGTAATATTGCTGTTTGAGCATGATATAGGTCTGCAAAGTTACAAAGCAGAAAGTCACTCCAAAGAGAGTTATTCTCTACAACAGTAAGCCCTGTTTTAAAACTTCCTGAAACGCATCGATTGCAGTCTTGAGTTCTCTTCTGAGAATTTTCACGTCACAATATTCCTCATTTAAATAATTCCCGCCCAAGACAAACGCGGAAAAAGGGCGAGGTCTGTTTGAGATCCGTTAGTAGTGTGTTGAAAGAAACTTGTGGTTATGGTCAGGGGTGTGACATTTCTGAAACATGCTCAAAGCGGTTGACCAATCACAACACACTGGTCCAGCCGACCAATCAGAGAAAACTGAGCTTTTCAGGAGGGGCTTCATAGAGACCTGAACTAAACAGTGTTACAGACAGACTGTGAAGAGAGGTGCTGCAATAATGTAAAATATGTGAACATTTTTATTTTAGTAGACACTTTGAAAAGGGTCCCTTTTAACAATTGCCGTTTTTTTTTCACATAGCAGAAAAATAGACTTAAAATACTCTGTTGATTTTGATCGTACATATAAGTGTTATACATCAATCGATCCTGTTAATTGTCTATTATTTTTCTGTATACTCACAATAAAAACAAAGTTTTGTGCTTTTTGTCAAATAAAGAAAAATAAACATGAGTTTTGCCTTCTCTCTGTCAGTGCAGTCCATTCTGAAACACGTCCGAAAAATTAACTCTAACTCTGCAAATACTTGTCATACAGGCACGAGAGATTTTTCTTTATGAAGCTTGAATTCTCTTCTTTTCAATGAAGTAATTTATATAAAAAACAAATATTCTCAGTTTATGTAATCTGTATGAAAAGAGAGTGCTGTCAGAATTTTTTTCCCCAGCTCATTACACTTCATTACGCGTTAATCTGACACGCCCACGGAGGACGCGCGCTATTCAAACGCAAATGTTGAGGCAAGCCATGACAATGCCCACATCAGCCGTTCCACCGCGGCGGTAAAATGTGTGGTGTTTTTGCTGCCTTTTACCGCTAAGAGGCGCTACAATCATAGACTCTGAAAAGTGTTCGTTTATTCTTTCTAATGCGTAATCTGCCGCCGCACCGCGGCTCATTCAGAGCGATTAAAAGCTGGTAGCAGATGAATTCAACAAGTGAAACGTAGTTAAAATAATTCATAATCACAATACTGAAATTAGGCTACTGAAATGAAATTGAATAAATAATGAAAACATAAAACATTGCAATAAAAACATTTACAGACGTACAGACGATAGCTCAGTGGTTAACGAAACAACACGAGCTTCGAGGAGCTTCAAACGACCCGAGATCGAATCTCAATATAGCATACATGTTGTTAACCGATGTTGGCCAACAGCGTTTATATTTTACCTTCTTGATGCTTAAATAGCTAACTGTTTATAACTGTTTACTTATTTAAAGTCAAGAGTTTTGTTTAATTATCATAACATAAATTTGCTACATTCCTGGAACCGCAGCGCTGCACAAACGACAAAAACTGATGAAGGAAGATTGTCAGCCGATTGCATCAGAAAATGAAAATGAAGAAGCTCGTCTTTAGTCTGCTAAATTATTGTGTAATGTAAAAGAACACTAAAATTACTTAAGTTTGAAACCAAGTTCGAACATTTCAAGGTTTAAATAAAGTGTCGGGACAGTTTTTTTTATTATTTAAAACAGGGTTGCATCGGGTTTGGAGTTTATTTCTTTTGCGATGCAAAATAAGAAACACTAGGCTAATCTTATTCTTGCGACATTTTAAATTTGTATTGCCAAAGAAATGACAGCTATATTAAACAATTAAAACAGTAGGCCTACAAAACGAAAATTGTCCAAAGCAACATAATTAAATTAAAACATGCGTTTTTCTTTGCCTCTCTCGCGCTGAATCTCTTTTTAACAAGTTTATTTAGTCTCCCTCGCTCTCCATGAAAGAGGAACATTAACACCTAGGCCTATTGTCCTGCGCGCACGATACAGCACTGAACTGTCCCTCCAACCCCCCACCGGCTATCGGAGTCTGAGGCTGATTTAACACAAAGAGAAGTCGCAATTCACACTTAAATCGCTATTCTAGACAGTGTTGATAATGAAGGAATTAAATGATTTAAGTTACATGTAGCCTAGTGATATTTCTGTCATAAAAGTTTATTACTAAATATTTCATTATTTCAATAATTGATGAAATAAAACTGGTTTGGGCCAGCTTTTTCCAAGCAAAACTAAATATAATCTGAAAAAACGCATGTTAATTTGTTGTCATGAACAAAATGTTCAACTCAATATTAAAGTCTACAGGGATCTTTGGATCCTTTCAACCAGGCATGCAATTTGTGAATTAAGTTTTTTTTATTTTTTTTTTTATTCAAATAAATATCGAACCACGGTGCTTTGTGGTAATGCTGCTAAATTAAATAACATGTATAGAATAATTATGAACCTAAATGAAACAATATCGCAACATTTCGACAAATACATTATTTGATCTGTTTTTACATTTTAATTCAGGGCGATTTAGCCTGCTACATTTAATTAGAGCGAGATTTTCACCCTTGTCATTTTCTCATTGGGAAGCGCTTACAGGCTACATGTTTGAGTACATCCTCTGTACCTCTCGTTTTCATATGGATTACATAATCAGATAACATTTATTAGCCTGAATATTTAGACATTTAAAGGCTTTAGACAGAGCCGATTTCTTATAGTGACTGAGCTGAAGTGGCTTTCGGTTCATTTTTGTGACGCGCAGTTCCCGGAGACAGAGACGACAGATAAACTTTTGTCGTTAGCAAAAGTTCGAATAAAACCCGACTTTAGAAAAATGCACAGGGCCACTCGGCGTGGTCTGCCAAAACACTTAATTATAAACTTCAATATTTCATTCAAAATAATCTCAAAACGCTTTGTGAAATTTTGAAAAGCCGTGCATGCATTAAGGCCACTTGAACTAATGAACAACTGAAACGCTGGTTTTATTGTTTGTCGTTGTTTAAACGTGCTTGTTGCATATCTCTATTTTATATTTGATATGGTCTATTGGTGAAGTAGCCTATAGCATTGATTACTGTGGAGGGAGGGGTGTGGGGATTCAAATAATTCAGCAGAAGCAGGGATGTTTAGACCAGAAGGAAATCCCCGTCCCCCCTGGCAAATCACACTTTACTTAAAACCATGTTTTTAAAAACTCTAGGTTGTAGGGAATCAAAATAATAATAATAATAGGCCTAAAAATATATATATATATATATATATAGGCTATATATGTAAAATTACTTTTTTTACAGAACTGCTTTTGAAATTACGATTGGTAGCCTCGTACGATTGGTACAAATGCAACGTCGTTCTGTTGGATACTATTGTTCCTTAGTGTAAAATGGAAATGCATGGTAATTTTATTTTATAAATATAAGCAAAAAACTGTATGGTGTAACAGAGTTTTAGAGCTAGACAAATCTCTCTGCATTAATAAATATAAAATTTTCAGTAGACCATATTTGACCGGGATTTGAACCCGTGTCATCTTGATGATCGAACCGTAAGTTCTACCGCTCGGCTATGAATTTTCTCACTGAGAAATGCCCAAACGTTTGTTTCTCACATGAGCGAGAAAACGTTTTGTCGTTAGCCTGTGAGTGTAGGCCTACTTTAGCCTACATGAATAAAAGTAGACCTTTTACAGTTTTAAAAGATGATATCTTATCTGTATGACCAACAATTACGCAGTAAGTTCTTTTAGCTGTTAAAAATAAATCCAAATGAACTCGCCGCCGCGTTTGTCAAACTCTAATTCAACATGCCAGAATAAAGCCAGATTTTAGAATAATGCATAGCCACTCGGCGTGGTGTGCCAAAATACCCTAATTATAAACTTCAATATTTCATTCAAAACCATCTCAAAATGCTTTGTGACATTTTAAAAAGCCGTGAATGTATTAAGGCCACTGGAACCAAGATCGTAACTGAAACGCGCTGCATGTCTCAATACAGGAAGCGCTGGTTCAGATTGTATTGTTTGTTGTTTAAACGTGCATGTTGCATATTTAAAAATATTTGTTTAAAAATAAATGTTTCTTGTAGGCTTATTTGTAAATTACCATAACTTGTAGAATTTCATCCTTACTGTTAATTGACATTAGCCCCACTTACGTTTTGATAAATGTCCCTTTGCGCCACCTGGCGGTCATTTCGCGAGCGACTTTGAAATGCGACTGGTTTATTTTTATTGTATTGGTCTGCTTTAAAAAATAATACTTTATAAGACATTTATGGGAAAAGACTATTTTCTTTTCAAGATGTTTCCAACTGTAACTTTGAACCAATTCTGTAGACTGGCCCATATAGCATTTGACCAGGATTTGTTTCCAGGTATGACTAAAAATGTGCTTTTGGCTTTCATTTATATTTTGATTGTTTGTATATATATATATATATGTGTGTGTGTGTGTGTGTGTGTGTGTATATATATATATATATATATACACATGTAGGCTATATATATATATACAAGAAAGAATGCAATTACAATATATATATATATATATATATATATATATTGTCCTTACATTCTTTCTTGTGTGACACCCCTGAATGAAAGGCTCATTATTATGCAGGGTCACTGTCTGAGAACCACTTAATTATTCATGATAGGGGTTGGGCCGTTCCGCCCATCCGCATATTGCCTTGGCAAACAAAAAAAATGTTTTTCACAATTTAAAACAATCTATTGTTTTATGTGAATGATAAGGAAGGATGATTTTTAGATCATTTTGAAGCAAAAACTCTAGGCAACAACGCACATTAGTCAAAAGTCTTGTGGACTCATATTTAGTATGTTTTTTGTGTCCTTATTTCAAAAACTTTATTTTTTATTTTTTTCAATAACCACGCATAAACAATATTCTCTCAAAAATACAAACATGTACATACATGTTGCTCACACATTATGGTAGTCCTGTTTGTGCTAAATAGAGTGTAATTTCACCTGTGCCATTAATATGTTTATAAGCAACTGAAAAAAGCACAAATGTCAGAGCATGTCAAAACATCTCAAGGACCCCAAAAACACCTTGGTCCCCAGAGGGTTAATCATCATAATGAATATTTTTCTTTCTCACAGCGATCGTTTGGCACTGAGGCAGGTCCGTTCCATCCTGCAACACTTGGGCTTGACCAGCAGTACGTGCGACGACAGTATTCTTGTGAAGGAGGTTTGCAGCGTGGTGTCCAAACGGGCGGCCCAGTTGTGCGGAGCCGGTCTGGCTGCTGTGGTGGACAAGATACGGCGGAACCGTGGCCTCGAGCAACTCAACATCACAGTAGGAGTGGACGGCACGCTCTACAAACTTCACCCACAGTGAGTGACCACACAGCACGATGATGGGATAAGACCGTGAATCTCTTTTGCAGTTAATATTTGCCCCTGATTACTTAGGCAAGGCAAGGCAAGTTTATTTACATAGCACATTTCATAGACAATGGAAGAAATTAAAATAATCAAAACAAATAAGAATAATTAAAACAGTTTAGAATAAAAAATAAAATAAAGTCATTCTGGTCCACGCCAATTTGGGTCACAACTTCTTTTATTTTTCCCTCGGAATCATTCCTGATGCATCCCTGGCAAACAACCCTATTTTTTGTTAGTATCCCTAACTGCCTGATTTACTAAATTCGGGGATCCCCTATCTGAGATGGAAGAGATTGAGCCGGTTTACGGTGCCACTGGACCTCTAGCCCAGGGACGTACTCTGCTGGGGTGGTGCTACACCAGTAATGCCCAGCGGGGGCCCCACAGAGCACGCTTCGTGTGCGCTGTCTGCTGCCGTTACCCTTAACGACGCTCTCAGCGACTTCTTATACTGTCAGCAGTATAATTAACTTACTCCTTCACTCGCCTCATCGGAGTGAAGACTCTCCCGCTCTCCTTCAAAATCTCTTCCAGAGATTATAATAAAAAAATATACAGTATATATATAAAAAAGAATTAAAGCAGTACAGTAAAAACAGTCGGACGAACAGTGGCACAGTGCTCATTCAGTAAATGCATAGCTAAACAGATGTGTTTTGAGTCTGGATTTGAATGTGACTGTAGGAGCACATCTGATCTCCTCTGGAAGCTGGTTCCAGCTGCGGCTGGCATAATAGCTAAAAGCAGACTCTCCATGCTTAGAGTGAACCTTTGGTATTTCTAGCTGATGTGATCCTAATGATCTGAGTGATCTGTTAGGTTTATATTCAGTGAGCATATCTGCAATATATTGAGGTCCTAACCCATTGAATGATTTATATACCAGTAATAATACTTTAAAATCAATCCTAAATGTAACTGGGAGCCAGTGTAAAGACCTGAGGACTGGTGTGATATGTTCATATTTTCTGGTCCTGGTCAGAATCCTGGCAGCAGCGTTCTGTATGAGCTGCAACTGTCTTAGTTAAATTAGTGGTTTTCAAACTATGGGTTGACATTCTACTTGTAGCATGTGGGCTTTTGTGAGGGGCGTGAGAATTTTTTTTGCTTATGTAAGGCAAGAAAAATGTACCAGAGTAGCCTGAAATGAAAGATTGTCAGTGCCCCATGACGCTTGTTAATGTAGCAGAGGCGTTAAAGCTGAGCCATAAATCACAGGCGTTGCTGACCTTTTTGTGAGGTCTTGAGCTTCTATCTGTAACCGAGGCCAACTAGTAAGAGCTGGGCGAGTAAACCTCACTCCCCTGGCCTCAAGAGGTGCACTAGCTACTGAGGCTAGAGATGCAGGTTCAAATCTCGCCCAGAGCAGGTCAAATAGGGCCCGGATGGGAGTGAGGTTTAGGGGGGTGAGTGTAATGGAGGGCCAGCTAGTTAGAGCTGTGTGGGTAAACCTCACTCCACTGGCTTCAAAAGGTGCAGGAACAGATTTAATTTAGGCAGAACTATCCCTTTAAATAATGTGCTATCTTGTAGTTCCTCTTAGAGTTACTGGCTAACTTACCAAAGCCCGTTTTTACTAGCCAGTGTTTGTTTTGGACCCTGTCGATGGTGCTTACTTTATGGTAAATATAATTATGTGATATATATTTATATATATATATATATATATATATATATATATATATATATATATATATATATTTATTTATATATATATATACACACACTTGTAATTTCTTGTCAAAATTTATAGACTTTCAGCTGTTTGCACTGAACAAATTAAACGAAATATTTGTTGTGTTGAGCTATTTCAATTACTTTTAAGTGGTTTCCCCAAATTCAACTAAAAATGCAACATTTTAAACTATAGTACTTAGTAGAACACCCTTTTGCTGTTATGACCCAGAGCATATGAGTGGAGTGGTGAGAATCTCAGCTCCTCGCTCACGGAACTGTTCACCCCTCCGCTCCCCCGCTCAAAGCCACATCAGGCCACTCCGCTCATTATCGCTCAGCGCTCAACGCAGTTTGCTTCGCGCTCCACTCAAATCGCCCCCCGCTCGCTCCAAAAAAGGAAAAAAATCTGCATGTATTTCACTTTTAGCTTAGACCACAGCTTACCTCCCAAAGAACTAAAGAGCAACAACAACATTTTCCAAATAGAAATGTTTTCAAATTACAAATTAGGCCTAGCCTGTGTAAGAAGGAATATAGCCTACACAAAAAGTCCTGTGAAATTAAACAAATAAATGGACCTAATAATATAAATAAATGTTATAAACAAAAATATACATAAAAGTTTTAAAAGTAAATTAACTATTAGGCCAGAATTTTGATAACTGAACTTTTGCGCAAAGCGTACGATTAACATTTAAATTGGCTTTTAGGCTTATCCATTGTACACACAAACTGCTGTCAAATTAAACAAATAAATGGGCCTAATAATATTAAAAAAATATACATAGACGTTTTAAAAGTAAATTAAATATTAGGCCAAAATTCTTATAACTGAACTTTTGCCCAGAGGATTACAAATTAAATTGGCTTATGTTGTCAAACTTTAAAAAAAAAAAAAAAAATATTAATTGCTTTCCTTATCTACAGTTCTTTTGAGTTCACCTTCAAGAACACAAGTTTGGACAATATCTGAGGCTTCAGACTCATGCAGTGGTTTCTTGACAGCAGGCCAGAAGCGGAGAAAACCCTCTCTGCGCTCGCAGACCCGCTTGGGATCCTGAACACAATGCAAGTTACTTTAGCCAGACGGGGAAAGACGTGGAGTTTTCTTTCCAAAATTGTCTTCTTTTTGAACTCCATTATTGAGCCGAGTTTTGACTGAAAATAGTCTACTGTTGACTGTGCGAGACAGGCTTGACTAAGCATGCTTTAGACTCGTGGTGTGAGCGGAGCGGAGAGGGAAATAGGGCGACGCTCCGTCCTTTTAAAAATGCCGCTCTGCGCTCTGTCCAAGATCCGCCCGCTCGGCTTCAGCTTCCTCACTGACAGCATGACGTTTTTCCTAGGATTTACAGATGCATTTTGCCTTCCACACGCTGGTTTCCAGTGCCAGAGGATGCAAAGCAGCCCCAGAGCATCACCGAATACCACCATGCTTAACTGTAGGCAGAGTGTTCTTTTCAGCGTATGCTTCATTCTTCTTCCTCCAGACATACCGCAGATCCAAAAGGGCAGAAAAGTTCCAGTTTTGTTTAATCGCTCCACAGAACAGAATCCCCAAACTTCTGTGGCGTATTTATATAATTTTTAGCAGTTTTCTTGTGTTTTGGGGTCAGTAATGGTGTACGTATTGGAGTTCTGGCATGGAAACCGCATGCGTTTAGTATGTGCCTTACTGTGAAAGTTGAAACCTCAGTGACTGTTGCCACCAAGTCTTGCTGCAGGTCTTTTGCAGCCACTCAAAGATTTTTCTGAACCTGTCTTCTCAAAAATCTGGTTGCAGCCATTGATAGCTTCCCTTTTCTGCCCCGTAGCATAACCACTGTTCCTTTAACTTTGAACTTGTGAACTATGGTGTCTCTAGGAACCTTTATCTTCCTTCCTTTATATTATCTTTTTGTATCCTGTTCCTTGTTTGTGAAAGGCGACGGTACCTTCTCTTATCTTTTTGGACCATTCTTTTGACTTAGCCATATTTTTAACATGCAGTCAAACATGACATTCAACAAACCTAGGCCCTGTCCACACGAACAGGGGTATTTTCAAAATCTGCGGTTTGGCCGTTCGTCCACACGCAAACGCTGAAACCTAATCTTTTTTGAAAACTCCTGCCAGGGTGAAGATTTTCAGACACTCCGGTTGCAGTGTTGTCGTGTAGCCGGTGGAACCAGAGATTTTGGCTTGTGACGTCGGAGTGCGCGCTTTTATCTCCTTTGTTTACATGAGGCGAAATATTGCTGCTCATAGGGCTTATGACGTGGGCAAATACATGCACAGTTATCCCATTATATTGAGGAACAGAGATGTCAGAATGTAATACTACGCAGGTCACTGCGTATTACAACTTCTGATTGGCCAACATGGCTTTACTGTTAGGGTTATATCGCCACCTGTTGGTTTGGCATGCTCTTGACAGCGGTTCATAGCGTGTTTTTTCTTTTTTTTTATGTAGAGGGAGAAAAAATCTGTTATAAAAAAAACCTGTGTAGGTGTAGACTAGCCCCTAGCCAGTTCACATATTTCATGTGTTCTAGCTCAAGCACACCTGGTGCACCTAATGAAGCCCTTGATGAGTTGCATCAGGTGTGCTTGAGACAACACCTTTTTTGCAGATTTGTGCTGTTGTGAGGGATTCTATTCAGGGGGTTGAGTAATTTTGAGACTGCAGAAGTCATGAAAAGTTAAGTTGCATTTTCAGGTGAATTTGGGGAAACCACTTGAAACATTTGTTCAATTTATTTTGTTTGATTTGTTCATTGCAAACAGTTTAAAGTCTGTACATTTTGCCAATTAACCTGATTTGCAAGGGGGGTTGAATAATTTCGATTACAACTCTGTGTTTGTGTCTCTGTGTGTGTGTGTGTGTGTGTGTGTGTGTGTGTGTGTATACACAGTATGCTTCCTTGTGCAATGTCAGGAGTTTAATTAACAATTTGATGTAAGTGTCAATGACTGTATACTTTCGATCAAATGACTACAAAAACAGCCTAAACCTTGCTGGAGGAATGTACTGTGCTTTTAAACATTGTTTTAAAAAGTTTAAAACTTTTAAACTTTAAAAGTAGTTATATTTTTATTTTATTATATTATATCATATTAAGGCAAGGCAAGGCAAGGCAAGTTTATTTATATAGCCCATTTCATACACAATGGTAATTCAAAGTGCTTTACATAGGAGGAAATAATTAAAACAGTTTAGAATAAAAAATAAAATAAAGTACAGTAAAAAAATTAATAGAAAAAGAAGTGCAGATTTTTTTTGATGTGGGAAAACAAAAAAAACCCCAATAAATGCACAAAAGAGCAGATTTAGCTCATACTCAGATTTCCTCATTCAGATGTTTTGTTTTCTCCTCTTTTGTCTCATCAGCTTTGCCACCATCATGCGGGAGACCTTAAGAGACCTGGCGCCCAACTGTGAGGTCACTCTCGTCCAATCAGAAGATGGCAGCGGAAAAGGTGCCGCCCTCATCACGGCTGTGGCTTGTCGATTAAGAGATACGGGAAAGTAGTGACTGAACGGAATAATATAAAGGGGAAAAGATAATGTGGAAAAAAGAAAATTACGTACTGAGCTTCCAGATTTTTCTCTTTTTTTCTGTGCAACAATATGGCCTTACTGAAACAACACTCCTGTCTGTTCAAGAATGTATTTTATTTATTTTTTTCATTTTTTTTTGTTTGTTTGTTTTGCTTTAGGTCATTTATTGCAAGGGCTTGGAATGTGCCGGTGGGGGGTTGTTTGTAGAAAAGGGAATATCAAGCAGAAGAAAAACAAAGAACTAGTCTAGATCCTCTTGCACATATATATTATCATATTGTTACTGATTTGAAAAAAGCACAGCGATTTTATTCACCTTTTGACTTGTGAATGATGTAATTTATGTTTGTACCTAACTAGAGTCCATGCATGTGATTAAAGGAATAATTGTAAGTGAAGTAGGTGAGTAAACAGAATTGTTATTTTTGGGTGAACTGTTCCTTTAAATACATTTATTGATGATTCTCAAGTGAGGATGTTCTTTAGTTTAATCTTAATTTGTGTCGTGCTGCTCTTCCTGTTACTAAAGCACAGTCCCGCTGCTACTAGACTGACATGAAGCTAATCTCATTAGTTTTCTGAACAGGTCCAAGTGCTGGTTTGAGGAAAGCTGTCAGGTGAGGTGCTTTTAAGAGCTAACTTGATGGTGTGAGCTGGAAAATTTACTTTTATGTGCTGGACTGTACGTTTGTGCGCTGACCAAACTGAATTTGGTCTTTTATAATATTTTTGATCTACTAAAAAGTGCATGCAATCCAAAACATACAAACTGAAGTATATAATCTTGCGCTCTTTTTTTTAAATGCACAATATTCTGTAAATTGCGTTGGCACATTTTGGGTTAGAAATGACAGGTGAAATTATCACCGTTACATGTCAAGAGAGACTCACACTGTGAACATGAATGCATCAAATTGTGTCTTCCCTTGCAGCCCTGGTGGGATATTTATTAGTGATGAATGTCGCCATTGCTGATCAGAGCTGTGCATCACAGTTTATCATGTTGTGGATAATGTCAGGGTGTGAGGTGTAATTTTCTCACAGCAAATATTGAACGAGTGCCATTTTATCAGACTGTCAGTAATGAACCTTCTGTAAACTTTTAGTCTAGTAATCAAATTAGATCAAGTTGGTCATTTTATTTTCATATGATTTCACTTATCTATCTCCTTGATTGAATTGCTTGTAGGTTTGATTCATTTTACAGTGTAATTTCTGCAAATTCAGACATTATAAATAAACTTAATTTTTTTCATTACGACAAAAGAATAATTGTGAAGGATCTTTTTTCTATACCACTAGGACCAAAGATGTTAGAAAATATTCAATAACAGTTGTTCATATGATTAATGCATTCGAAATCACATAAAATTTTGTGTAAAGAGCAGGCCTAAATTTTAAATTGAACACATACTTACTGTAGGGTTAGAGTTTGGTTGAGGGTTAGTTGCATGTGATTATGCATAATAGTTGTTACTACAATAAGTACATGTAGCATATAACAAAATACACAGTAAAATGTTACCAAGTGTTTCCCTTGAACGACACGAGTAATTAATAAATAAAAATTCATTTTGTTTTGAACCTAAACCTATAGTCGTCCATATGCTTCTGGCAACTTGACAAATAAACAAATAAATATCTGCATCTTGAATGCTTTGATGGTAGCATCTTAAAAATACAAATTTATATCCAGACGGTGAAATATTCATAAATCTTTTCTCGTCGCGTTAAGAACTTTGGATGCTGTGGTTCTGTCATTGCTGCATGCATGTATTTTCTCAAAACACTGTCACTCACTTAGATTGATTCGTATGAATTTATGAATAACAGATTTTCTGTTCAGTATTCCTGTCCATTCTGTGCCTGTGAGCAGTCTACTTATTCTGTCCATTCTGTGCCTGTGAGCAATCTACCTATTCTTGTAAGGCTCCATGGACAATAACTCATGAATTCTAAGGTCAAATCAGGTCTGATATGCTACAGCTTTCAAATGTTCTTTGTGGCACCTGTACCTAAACACTGCCTTTTGCAGGGGAATTTTCACATATTCAGTGTGTCCGCGCTAAAGGCCATTTCAAAAATGCAATAGGCAAGCAAAGGTGATGTCCATCGCATATGTAGGAATGACCTTTAACACCTGGTGAATGTCTCTGTAAGCGTTGTATTTTGGTTTTAAGTAAAGCCCCCTGCAACCAACCCCACATATATGCAAGATACTCAAATGTCCATAGAGTGTTGTTGTTTTGTAATAAAGGTTTTTGAGTTTATTAATAATTCATAATTTAGTTTCTTCATCACCAGGGCTTTTTTAAATAAAAGGTTACCAATCAAAAGTTTTGGATCAGTAAGATTTTAAAAGAAGTCTCTTCTGCTCATCAAGGCTGCATTTATTTGCTTAAAAAAAACCCAGTAATATTTTGAAATATTATGACTATTTAAAATAACCGTTTTAATATATTTTAAAATGTAATTTATCCCTGTGATGCAAAGCTGAATTTTCAGCATCACTACTCCAGTCTTCAGTGTCACATGATCCTTTAGGAATCATTCTAATTGAAGATTTGATGCTCAAAAAAACATTCATTATTATTATCAATGTTGAAAACAGTTATTTCAATTTTTATTTCAGGATTCCTTGAAGAAGAAAGTTCAAAAGAACAGCATTTATTTGAAATAGAATCTTTTGTAACATTGTGTTATTTAACTTTTTATGTCTTTACTTTGTCTTAAATTATGTCTTTAACTTTTGATCAATTTAATTCATCATTGATGAATAAAAGTATTGATTTCTTTTATTTCTTTCCCCCAAAAAATAAAATAAAAATTATTACTGACCCCAAACTTTTGAATGGTAGTGTTTAATGTTACAAAATTATCTGTTACAGGATTATCTGCAAGCTTTCATAATGTACTTTTTTTAATTAATTGCATAACCGAAAGTCCAACACGATCTCATGAAACTGCGTATATACCACAAATTAAATTTCTTGTGCTATTTATACCCCAAAAATGTTTTTTTTGCGTGCATATGCTACGCACTCTTGGGATTAGGGGTGTTGAGTGCGTGTAACAACTATAAATGAGTCTTCCGGTGTAACCAGAGAAGTCCTGATATCCAACAGTTGTTTGATGCAAGAAGGAATAGAACAGAATCTGCTGAAGTTACTTTGAGCTCCTCTTCCCTCTTAAATCACAAATCCAATGAATGCCATTCTGCTACTGTTATTTAGAGTGTTTTTAACTTTGCTACCTAATTATTGTATCACTTCACTTCGCTATCTTATCATTGTAGCTCTTCAGAGACTAAAACATGTGTGAGAAATGTAATAATTCCCATCTATTCCTATTGTGTTAGGGGTCAATTTGATAGGCTTTTTTTTGTCATGACTTTTTTTTTTGCACTGAGGTGCAAATAACTACAAGTGTAAATAGTATCTAATATTATTTATACTGCACAGTCAAAAAAATCTGTCAAAGGATGTTTTTGGTTGTTAGGTTTTTTTAAAATCTCAATTACTAGAGTGTTGCAGCATTGAAAAGATGTTTGAAATCCCCAATACACTCACAAGGGCTTGAGAACCAGACATACAGTAACAAAAGGGCAGAAATAGCAATAAACTAGGGAGTTTCCTTTGGACCATTGAGGAGAGGAGTCTTCAATTTCAAGTAAACATTGAGTCTTGAATTTTTACAAGTTTTCATGCATTTCATATTTTAGTGTAAGGTTACAAAATTTACAACCAAATTTGTACAGCCTTTCCAAAACACATCTATGTTTCTATACTTTGCATTCACGTTCCTGACCCTAAATAGGAAATATTGACAAAGTTGTAAGATACATATAATAATAGAGCCTTTAGCTTATGTCCTCTGTGAACTGTAGTATTAGTCAGACTAAATTGTCATTATTCTTTACTGTAATATCTAATCCATATTCAAACAAGTTTCAAAACACAGTTTAAAATGAATCCCTCTATGAGCACTGCATGTTTTAAGGACTTATTTCTCTGAGCTTTATCAATCAAAAGGCACATGGTCCTTTTCTTATCCAACATTAACTCTTTCAATATATCAACATGTTTCACTTTATCGCATAATACTGGTGCTTTAGTTTTCTCTATTCAAGGTGTTTAGTGAGAAATGTTGAGGAGACGGAGGGCTATTGTGATTTATTTATTACATTTTCTTTCATAACTTATAAACATTATAAACAAACAGTAATGATACTTTGTTTTGTATTAGGAAAGACATAGGATGTTATGTAATGTCAGAGTATTGCTTGCACAAAAGCACTTTGTTGAAGCTTTTGAATTGACTTTCAACATGAACCTATACTTAATGAGTACAATGACAGCAGCCAAGTCATTTATTTATTTATTTTATGTCACAATCTAGTCTAGTCTATTCTATCTGTGCAAACTAGAAATTCAAGTTATCAAGACAATTTCATTTAAGTTACTACAACTTAAGTTTAATAAAAATGAAATTAACACAGAAATCTGAGTTTAAATTATACATTTAGTGTATATAATGATCAACATTATTGTCAACAGAACTCAATAAAATAATGTTTGCAATTTAAACGGGTTCCCTGAATTACTTGTCCAGTTAGTGTGTTTTCTGTAGCTGATCCAGTTCTGTATTCATGAGCTCACTGCGCACTCCAAGGCCCTTTGTGTCATGTATTTGATGAAGGATTTTATAAAAGGTTACACTAAACACAAAAGGGCCACAATGGAGAATAAATCTGGCCGAACAGTTGAGGATGAACTCCTCTGAGACAGAACCTTGGATTTCCTTGACTGCTCTGAGACAATCCATCCATTAAAATATCTGTTTGTTGAACTCCAGAGATACTTTTAAACGCCTTGCTTGATTTCAAGCAATTGTGATGCTGTATTGTGCATTTGCGACTGCTAAACCCTCAGATCAAGAATAAATATTCCTTAGTATGTATTCAGTGTAAATACAGACACTTCGGGGCATTAGATCTTGTTACAGTGGGTGTGTGTCAATCAGCTCCCGTCATGAATCCGTATATCATGTACACAAATTTGGGCACTGATAAGGACTCTGGTTTACCTCACATTGGGACTTTGATGATTCTACTTTTCTGCTAGTTGTGACATTTTTGACATTGAGCCCGTTTACCACACTGAATTTTTTTTTGCTACTTTTGGGTTTGGGTGTCATATATACAAATTTACCTGACTGCATTGCAGGTTATTTTTTTCAGG